AGGCGAACATTCAGTGGGGGGTATAGTTTGACGTGGCAGAGTAGACTAGAGTAGCATAGACCATAGAAGGTGTAGATAGAAGCTACCTGTAAGATGTGGGTTCAATGGGACGGTGAGCGTGTTGACTACATAAAAGAAATGGGCACAAGGCCATTTCACTGAAAGGTTGTCATGGGACCTTCAGATGGAAACTAGCTTTCGTGCAAAATGTCGGTAAGGTCCGAAAGGGTGCACTTGTGTGCAACATCGCGATTATGTGTTTTTTTGGGCAAAATGGTTGTGCTCAAGATTGTCCATCAGAAAACAAGGAAACTTGTGCGCAATATCGCCATTTCTGAGTGCACTAAAAAATAAGAGTATGAACGCCCTTAAAACACTAGTTCTCATGCTTTGTATCACAAGTTTAAGAAAGTTTTGACCAAAAAAACATGTACAGCACGGGTTCTGCTCCCCCCCCCCCACCGACCCCGTGCATTGACGCACTAGGCCCAGCAATATTCGCCTGTGTTTGCGCGCGCGGCGCGCGCAAAGGTACACTTTTTTGTGCGCAATATTGTGGTTTTCTTGTCCGTTGGGTGACCCAAAAATGGCCTGTTTGTGTGCAGGTTTGTTGTTGTGGCATTTTTCTTGCATTCCGCCTGTGCGCGAAATGCACATTTTGTTGTTTTTCGTGTCCCTCTTACCGACATTTTGCACGAAAGCTTGTTTGGAGAGGGTAGCTCAAAATCGGATTGTGAGTTGGCGGACCGTGGAATAGAGTTAGGGGTATAGTGTGGGTTAGTGGTTGAAGTTCCCAATATGAAGGGGTAGTCTACACCAATGTAGTTTGATTGGGCTGAACACTAGGGGCACGGGGACTTAGTGGTGAAGTTCTAGGTGCGGGGCATAGGCAGAGATCTGGTATGAGTGAGAAGGGGATATGGTAGGCTGTAGGGGTACTTAGTCCGCGGTTGACCGACGGGCAGTGTCTCATTGTCGAACAAGCCCAGACCTCATGTAACAGGTTTTGCAGTTTGCATGCTATGTGTGAGCCACCAGCGAGCTTGAGCAAGCTTGAGCGGAGGGCTGACTGCCTCTAGCTCATGCCCAGAACATCCAACGTGATTGGCGTAGATGGGGCGAGGTCACTCTAACCGTCGGAGGCTCGCCGAGGGCTGGGTTCGACCAACCAGGGAAGGTAAGTGTGCATAGTGGGGAGCTTTCATACATTTTGACTGAGGCTAGGGTTAGTTATGACCCTTGACGTCCTGAGAGCCGGAATGTCAGGTAAGTTAACACGAGTTATGCAAGTGCCTGGGGCTGGGATTGTTCTGGAGTGCATGTTTACCCTCAATAGGTGCTTCCATACAAGTATATTGAACAACAACATGGTGGGGAGGTCTTGGTCAGTGTTACTAGTTGCAGGTTTGGAATACATGAGCAATTACTAATACATCTTAGTTATTGACTCATGATAACTGAAGTATGGTGTTTTTGGAAGTGTAGACTTGTATGGTACTTCCTCTGTATGGAAATAAATAAAACAATTTGTTTAGGAGGCTATATTTATATCACAAACTTGTTAGTTTTCCTTCAAAATTGGAACAAGGTACTACCTGCACATTTTCTATATGCTGCCAAATTTTTGTGGACAATGGATAAGTACCGGCCACGTGGACCCTTGTGATTCAGGTCAAAAAATCCAGGTTTCTCAAGGTTTGGCCGAACAGCCCCCAAAAGAAGTCCTTGACCACGCCGCCTTGCGACTGACAGTGGGCATCCCGGAGTGGATATTTGTTACTGTTGTCTTGGTGGCAGGTCGACACCATTCCTGCCAGAGGGGGAAGATCACAAGACCGGATTATATACCATTCGATCCTTGATCATCACTGTGGTTTTGATGGCCTTATCAGGGCAGCAATTCCGGGTCGGAGACCCAGAAATCTGCGAACCTCGCAATCCCGACGTTTGCAAAAAGGGTCCCCACCATGGTCAAAGGCGCCATGGATGCTAAGACCACCATAGAAGGTTTGGGAGAATGTGATCGTGCCCTCGCTGCGTGGCAGCCAAAAGATCGTTGAAATTGGTTGTGGTGGGCACATGCCACGAGAGATGCTTTGTGCGCCATTCACATTGCTTTCAAGGGTGCCGCTGCAACTGAGCTTCGCCCGTGCCATTGCAAGATACAAGAACGCCATTGCAGCAACACGTGGGGTCTCTAGTAGAGCATCCAAACCCTCCATTGTCATGTTTGGTAGGGTTGAAGCCTGTTTGGAAAGAAGGGTTGCTTGCATCAGGAAGGCACCTAATCGGTGATCTGTGCTGAACCTAAAACTTATGTTGCGTGCAAATATCCAACGGCTAGTCTTTAGCCACTAGGAGACCGCTAGGCAGCGGGGGATCCCAGGCGTGTCGGTGTGCTATTGTGGAAGATGGGGGAGGGGGGGGGGATTTCGAGCATTGTTGTGGAATTACATGGGGGTAGTTACAGCCAGATTTCTTGGGGCCAATTTAGTGGCCTTGGCTGTTCATTTATGGAGTATTCTGGGTGGTTGTGAGTTCCTGGGACTGGTGGAGGCTTGCCGGAACATTTACATTACATTCTGACATTGTACATTGCGTTTTCTGGTGTGTTGGCCACCCAATGTAGGGTGAGTCAGCTGCGCTGCATGGGAGTGGCAAAACCGCGCCTGTCTGACAATCTGTAATCGCTTTCGGACCCCAGCACCCACGCTTGCAGCCACCGAGCGCGAGGAGCTCTTTCCGCCGGACTTCGGGTCCTGTGCCGCACCCCGGCGATCTTCGGATCATACGGGCCCACCACAGCGAGCGAGAGGGGAAGCGCGCGCCCCGAGACGCCACACCATTCGGTGTGAGAGGCTGCCCATCGGCAGCGACCGGGCGCCATCGGGAGGCGCCCATCGAGGCATCGAACCACCCCATCAAGCATCCATTGATGGCGGTATGCAAACATAGGTGCCAACTCTGTCGATCGTGCATTGCGAAGGGCATCGATCTTTGGGCTAGAGCCCGAGCGCCAAGGCAACTCCCCCTTTCTGTTACTTTGAAGACCACTTGAAGGGGCATCACTCGTGCACAGGGCCTTCCTGGGTCCGGCTAGGTTTTGGTGGGGTGGGGGACTGACTGCGAATGTTCAAATTCTGGCGCTGAGTCGCTTGGCTTCAAAGTACAACCATATATCTTAATCTTATTTTCTGTCAATAACATTTTGACAGCATTGACTAAACATATATTAGATACGCTGGTCCAATTTTGAAGCAAAAATAAAAAGTACGTGATAAAAAATATGGTCAATCAACAGACTATTTCATTTAATTCCGGACGGAGGAAGTATATGCAGGGTTGGGTCACCAACCATAGTAAAGTGGGGTTACGTAAAGTGGATTGGTTAGATTAGGGACAAGCAAGGTTTGGTGTGCATGTGTGACCGAAATCCGGTCAGTATGTAAGCCATAACGCTTATCCTAAAAGATGTTGCTATTTATAGACCGAGGGTGGCAGGTCCACCTTTGGGACTTCATTTACCACCACGTGTATGACTGCATGTACGGTGGAAAGTATATTGCTGCTTGTTTATAAATCATGAGTGCAGCCAAGTGCACGGGAGTATTGCAAAACCATTTACGCTGACTTAGTGGTCGAGCGTACGGAGTACCACTATTGTAAATGCATTATTGACCATCATCTGCTATTGACGTGACAGTGCCCGTTTGAGGCCTTCCATCTACATTTTATCTTTGAATATCGCTCTTTTTTCCCTATTATCGAGAATGGTGCAATAGCACATTGTGTCAACAGAAGGCTGGACGTAAAAGTATATGCGGATGATATTTTAGTGTCCCTAGGAAGTGTGAAAAGTCCTAGAATCTATACCAGGGACTGGATAGGCGTGTTCATAAACACCCATCAACTGTTCCAATTCTGGAAGGCAGTTGGTTCAGCCTTGCTAACTGTAACTTGCATCAATTTGTTTGTCTACAGACTGGTCTTGACAATGAGGGTTGCGAGTCTAGTTTGGAAAGTGGGCAAACTGGTCTAGCGCATCTTTGCTTATTGATGCGCGGAGAATCACTGCAGCTCGCCAGTTTGGCCCAAGAGATAACTCGACTGAAAGGGCAGTTGAGCTTCCTTTGGAATTCTAAGCACGTAAGGCGCAGCCATGCCAGGTAGGACAGGAGCACCGTACCCATCACGTCGCAGCCTGTAATGGGCGTGGCCGCTAGGACAGCCAGTATTCCCTTCCATTTCCAGTTGGTTTGTGCTTTTGCAGCTGCATTAGTGATAGGTTGTTGTGTGTCATTAGGATCCCTTTGCCTGGGGATCTGGGTCGGGCACATTCTCTAGCACACAAAAACGTGGCCATGACTCACCAGCCATATTTGGCAGTCACACAATATGGCCATTCAACACAAGCAGTGAGTGACTCCCCGAGCGACGCCACCCCGTTGCCCTCCCCCAAGAGGCAGGCCGCGGTTGAAACGCCACCATTACGCAAACACAGATTTTTGCAGCAGCCGGTACAATGCCGTGGCAACAAGCGCGTCCCTGCCCCTCCGACACCTCGACACGGGAGATGGTCAGGCGCTAGTAATCGTCGCGCCCAGGCGGTCACGTGCGGCTGTACCGCCACTTGGATGTCAGACTCTCGTGCATCTCGGCCGTGGCGGCCACCCGTGGGGTCACCCCAGCGTCTCTTGACGGGCAACCATCTTCCACCCAGCCAGTTGCGCACCAAGCCCCGGGCCGGTAATGAGCGCCAACGCCAAAGACGCCTCGGCTTGAGCCGCGGCTCAAGCGAGGCCTGGCAAGAGCCCTGGGGCGTCTCGGCGGCCCTAGGGCGGTTCTGAAAGGCGGCTGCACTCCCCCCAGACCTGCACAACCCCCCTTTCCCTCTCAGGCCGCTGGGCAACTTGGCTTCCCGCCCTAAACCCGCTGATCCAGCCCTAAGCCCCAGCCATCTCGGACGAGGCCGTTTCGGCGCCGGGCGGTGACGGTACGACATGAAAGGGGGGGCGCGGAGCAGAGGTAAAATCGAGGAAGGGGCGGGGGGCCCGGGCGGCCAGCAGGGCGCAGGGGCCACGGAGCTGCCCCGTGCCAGGCACGCCGCGTGCCAGAGGCGGGTGAACGACGAGGTGCGGAGGCATCCGTGCTTCAGTGCGCGGCGCTTGGCGACGAGCAGACCGACATTTGCGCGAATTTTCGCCCGCGCTTTCCCGATCTTTTCGCCGCTTTGGCTCATCGCCGAGTTGGGTCGAGTCGCGGCTTTTTCCACCACCGTCGCGGGGGCCAGCACGATCATGCGGCGCGTCCTGCCGTGGGGAGAGTTGTGCAAGTCGACGGGTTGTGGGGAGTCCCGAATCATGCTCTTCCTCCTGCGGGGGGGGGGCATTTTGTATGCCGAGCGTCTTGCTGCTGACAACCTGAGCCGCCGTCTGGGTACCGATGCCCAAGCGGTGGCCAACTGACGCCCAAGCGGTGAATAAGCATTTGTCGAGATCTCATAAGTTCGGTTTTCGCGTGGGCAGATTTCATCGGCGTGCCTTACTGAGCTGACGGCCGGCCGTGTGCGTGCAGGACATGCTCTGCGTGCGTGAGGGCCTGACTCTCTCGCCCGCGGGCGCCTCATGGTCGCTCTACTGCCTCTGCGACGGCCATGGCGGCGCTCTGGCAGCGAACTATGCCATGGGCAACCTGTGGAGGGTCCTGTCGCCGCTGCTCCCCACCGCCAGGGATCCCACCTGGTCCAGCGCAGGTACTGCCGCAACGCCTGGCTGACAGCGCTCCTTGGGGCAGACATGCATGTGGCACACAAGCCTTCCAAACCCGCCCGCACATCAGCCGCTTTCGGCCCGATCGCGCACTCAACTTCCGGCGCGTCTCCGCGGAAATGTGGGGCGGTGATGTGCGGTGTGCGGCGTTGACATGCGTTTGACCCGCGGCTTGATTCACGAAGATCAGGAAACGAGGCCATGAGTTTTGGGCCGTGGTATGACTTGGGGGCATCCCGACGCCTGGGATCGGAATCACGCTCTTTGGGAGCGCAAGGAGCCGTGCCATCCGTGCGTCTGGGGGGTGGCCAAGGTGTGCATTATCACTGTAAGAGTAACCGTAGCTGTAGCACACGGTCGCTGCCAGGCACAGGAAGCAAAGCCGTAGCCAGATGCGTTACAGGAATGAGCGTACCGGCTAAATAACAACGCTGCAATAGTGTTCACTTCCCGTCTCCCTTGTCCCCACGTGCTTCCACCATAACACTATGGTCACCATATTTACTTTCACAATAAAAGCGTCATACATCAAAGATTATATATTGACCGCTCCCACGCCCTCACAATCACCATCGTTATCCTCGTCACAGGGGGTGCGGAATATCCTCATCTCGTGATGGAACCGCACATCCCGCCAAGGGGTATATCCTTGCTCGGGGCAGCTGGGCCGGCACTGGATGCACTTGGCGAGACGCGCCCATGGCGAAAAATATATCAGCCCCTTTGTCTTTTGCGTGACGATCCATGCTTCTTCCCGCTGACAAGGGCAGCGCGGGTCAGGGGGTCAGTGGCTTAGGGTTCAGGGCGTCCGAAACAAGAAGGGATCTCCGCGGAAAAGACAGAGCGACTAATTTCATGGCCCCGTGACTTGGGAGCGAAGTGTGGAGCATATCAGACGCCAAGGGGCGCGGCAGTGCAGTCCACGGCTTTTCAACCGTTCGATCAAAGCGCATTTTGATATCCTGATGCTCCTTTTAAAGGAGTGGGTGCCAAATCTGGCACCCACTGTGTGTACACACTGTGGGTCCCAAATTTGGGCACCAACCTGGCCACAAGACTTGGTGACCATCACATGAAGAGCCATCATGATGATCATCCGTGGCGCGCTGGGGCGCTGGCTGTTGTTGCTGAAGGCCACGGTGAAATCCGCGGCTCTGTAGCTTGTGCACTCCAGGGTTGAACCCGCTTGATCAAACAACAGCAAGGCCGCCGCACCAGTATTCAGCCAGCGCTGAATGTAATCGGAAGAGAGCTGCTATCAGTCAACGGGATAATGCAAAATATAGAGGAGTAAAAATGGCTCTGTAGGTGAATCCTAAAATAACCTAAATAATGCACGGAAATGCTGCACGAATCGCGGAATCGTTAAACGGCGCTTGCTTGGGTAAATGAGCCCAACTGTTCTGCACACACAAAAATAAATAAACATAATAAATCACTTGGAACAGTTGTTCGAATGTTAGCTGATGTGTCACGAAAGATGGGGCTTTGGTGACGGGTGGTGTGATGTGCAGATTTTGACATCTTTGCGCTGGAGGTGAGGAAGGCTGTCGTGGCGGCCTTTGTGAAGATTGGCGAGCAATTCAGAACTGACGTTTCGGCAGACAATTCAGGTGACCCAGGGTTGGAATCCAACGGGTGGATGGCCACCCGCAGCAGAATGTTCCTGCTCCAAAGCCGAAATGCGATCCAGCAAGATCCTAGTGCCCCACGAGGCACCGTGACTGCGGTCCATCTGTTCAAAAAACCTCAAAATTTCCGACGTGATTTAGTTCGTAAGATTGGTCTACAAAAATTTTAGTTCACCAACAACGTGACGTTCCTTTGATGGTTCTAAATATTCGGATGTGTGTCGTCAATGTCTGATAGTCTGATCTACTTATGCTGTTTTCCGACAAGTTGCTGCATGCGCATCCGTTTCCAACATGAGCGCAATGCGCACCCTTGGGCAGGACAGTTCAAAATTTGCAATTTGCAACATGTCACAGGCGGAAGTCCGGTGCCAGACACAGGGTTGAAACGCACAGCTTCAGAAAAGACAATTTGGTACCGTTGAAACTCTACATGCAATGCCAGTGCACAAGCTCAGCAGTTCGACGCTGCTGTTTGAACACCTGTGGAACTGCATGCAGTCCGCAATGGGGATGGTCGCCGGTATGCTGTTGATGTGTTTTGCGTCGTACTGCATGCTGCAACCCCACGAGATACCTTCCATATTTAAAAAGCAGGTGCCCACAAACGCAGGCAACAATCTGGGCAAATTGCCGTTGGGCTCTATAAATACGGATATTAGACATTGAGTGTCAGTATTGAGGGCCAACGGACAGGAACAAAGATGGTGTTGGAATTACGTGTCAAAGCTGCGCAAAGTATTGAGAAGACAAAGTGCGGAGCAATAGAAACGGAAAGGTAAGGACAAGAGAAGTGAAGGAAAAAAAGGAAAAGAAAGAGAACAAAAGAGAAATGGAAAAGGAGCAAATGAAAAATGAGAAGGAAAATAAAGAGAACTCTTTGTATAGACGAATGCAGGCTGGTTCGAGGGGTGGCAGACCTTGAACGGGGGCAGTGAGCTCGAGTACACAGCAACGGTTTACAGCCGAGCAAAGGAACAACAGGAGTTCTGTCCCTTGTACCCAGTCAATGTCTTCAATGCAGTTCCTAATGCCACTTCACTTCTTTATGCGTTCAGCTGTTTACAATACTCAATCAGTTTCGAGTTACAACAGTACCATCTTTGTACCTCTTAGAACCAAGTTGTTGGCATTTTCGCTCAGCCGTTGTGCCCTCTCCGGCAGGCGCCTCCGTGACGCTGGCCCTCCTGTGCGGCCGCCTGGTGACGTTGGCCAACGTGGGCGACGCCGACGCGGTGCTGGATACGGGGCGGGAGAAGTTCCTGGCCACCGTCAGCCACAACCTGGACAGGAGCGAGTGCGAGCGGCGGCGCCTCGCGGATGCTGGCGTGCTGATCGCGCCGGCCTCGGATGCACCGGGGCCGCTGGCGCCCGCGACAGGCGGGGAGGAGGGCCGCGGGCCTCTGAGGTGCTGGCCCGGCGGCCTGACGGTCGGCAGGTCGATCGGGGATGTGAGGGCCAGCGTGCACGTGGTGGCCTGCCCGCATGTCTTTCAGGTAAGATTTGTTGCAAAAGTGAGAACGAATGAATGAAAATTCTTATGGGCAGCTTGAAAAATCGACACGCTGGTCGCGTCACGTCTTGTTACAAAAGAGAGAAGGGAACAGCTGATACAAAGGGCAACCCCTCCTAAGCCAGTGCGTGCGAGACTCTGTTCCGCACTGTGAAAAGATTATGTAGATTCGCCGATGCGAGACGACGAACGCACAACGCAAGACAACACCAAAGACAAGAGTTTGTCTTTGTGGTGAATTGGGGGAATGTGTGCAGGAAATTACCTTTCTTGATTCGGAAATACTGCGTCGCGTTTCACTTTCCTGGTGCCTCTCCAGTCTTGTCACAAGACATGTGGGTCTTGCGCCCCCTGTGTGCTGGATATTGAACCAATGAATGTACCCTTCACGGTAACGAGTTGTCATGTCTGGGCAGAGGGGGGGCTAGCATAAGGCAGGTTCGCTTGGGGGGTTGCTGGGTTTGTGACTTTCCAGTGTGTGTCGCACAGATTTCCGAGTTTGTGCATGTTTTGGTTTCTTTGCTCAAAGATTCGCAATTTCTTTTTCGCTGCACCGCCTGGAGGAAATGAGCTGGCTAAATGTTTGCTTTTTAGTCTGCCTTTGGAAGACAAAGTAGTGCCGTTGAAAATTTTGGGCATTGATTGGCAGGTGCACATCCAGAAATGTTGACATGAGGTGGTGCCCCTGTGTGAGGGATGCACTGACTTTGGTTACAATCGAGGCAACTGCAGCCGTCAGAACGCAAAGGCTGCCTTCTCTTGCGCGAATGGGGCTGTGGGGGTGTGGTTTCCTTTATGGAGTGAATTTACAGCAGAGTCCCATTTTCCTTTTTGTTCATTCATCAACGGAATGGATTGTGGAAAACTAAGGCCTTTCGTTGCTTTGATTGTTTGACAATCAAATCCACCTGCAGTTGCGCTGCCTGCTACCTTCCTTCCAACAGTTTCTGGGGCGCCGCCAGGCCCGATTTCGCCTCACAGACCATCGCGCCGTCCTCTCTTGGAATGAGAAAACCCTCAAAACGCCTCTGAACGCTGTTGAAAGCCCCCAAGCCCCTTGACAGCCTGAAAGCCCTCGTATTGCGGATTCGCCGCAGATGTGTCTGCCGGACGGCGCCACCCGCCTGATCATGGGCTCCAGCGGCCTGTGGAGCGCCATCCACTGGCAGGAGGCCGCCCAGGTCACCCGCCGGGCGACCACCGGCAACGCAGCTGCCCTGCTTGTGCGGGAAGCGGCCTCCCAACAGAGATGCCCAACGGAGGACGTCACGGCCCTGGTGGTGGATCTGCTGCCCCCCACCAGGGCGCGGTTCCCGCGGCTGGTCAAGGAGAGCCTGACCAAGCGGGCGGCGGGGAGCGTGGCGTCCTGCAGGGCCTGGAACCTGCCCGCCTGCCTCACCCTGGGCCTCAAGTTCCCAGCCAATTTGGACAGGGCTCTGCCGGGCGACCTGCTCCGGATGGTGGCCAAGATCGACGGGTGGGACCTGCTGGAGTCCGCGATCCGCCACGAGGGCGCCCGTCCCCGGTCTGAGCTCGGTCAATGGCGATGTCGCTCAGCGCCCGGGATCGATCAACGCCAGGGCAGGTCCTCGCCGCAGTTTTGTCGCAGATCGCCGTCTCCGGAATACCGCAGGGGAAGGACGTCGCCGGGGCCCAGCAGGGGCCACAAAACTTCGTCACAAAACGGCCGACTGGGGCGAAAATCGCAGGAGTTCGCGGCCGGCCCGCGGACTTTGGAGTTCAGGCGGTGTCGATCGTCGGTGGGTTTGGTGCATGGCCGCTCCTCCCCGGCAGGTGAAGTCGGGGCTGCATCACATCGCGGGCCCGCGCCCGCGTTTCTCGCGGCGCAGCGCGCGAACCTGGACGCCGGGAGTGGCGTGGGCGACTGGCGGCCGCCGACCGGCCGGAGGGACGGATCGTCATTGGGCGGCGAGGCGGAGGGGGCGGAAGATCGGACGCGAAATGAAATGGAGTCGATCGGGGCTGATAGGAAGCAGCGCAAAACGGAGTCTGCGCGGAAAGATCGGAAGGAATGTAAAATGGAGCCTGCGGGGGAAGAAGGGAAGCGTGAAATGGAGGCGACAGGGGACGACCGGAAGCAGTGTGATATGGACACGACGCCGAGGGCCGAGGGGATGCCGGAGGGGGGCCGGCGGCCCGGCGGCGCGCTGTCGATCCGCTGCAATGCGCCGAGGGCCATCCGGCTGGGCGGGGCGGCGGCGGGCGCGGGGTCGCCAAAGAGCCAGCAGTGGGAGGCGGGGGCCGTCGCGAGCGCGCCGCTGAGCCGGCCGGTGTGCAGGGGGTGGGAGGGCAGGGCCAGCGAGGTGGAGCGGTCCGCGGCGGAAGAGGGACTCGAGCGCCCCTGGGGGGTGGAGATTTCGGCCGTGTTCGCGCCGACGGCCCTCGCCAAGCCCGGGGCGGCGCCCCTGTCGGATGTTTCCGCCCCGGATTTTAAGGCCCTGGCACAGACCCCGGACCTTAAGGACGCAGCCTCGGACCTTGGGGCCCCCGCCTCTAGCTTCGAGACCCTGGAGAAGGGGCAGGAGCACGGGGAGGGGCTGGAAGCGTTGAAGGCGTGGCCGGAGGGCAGGAGTTTCGCACAGTGTTGGTATTTTCCTTCGACGGCCCTGTTTGAGCCGGCGTGGCCGGCGATGGAGCGCAGCTCGGAGGAGTCTGTGTCGCTGTCCTCGTGGGCCTTTGGGCCCAAGCGGGGCATGATTGGCTGGCTAGGGCAGTGATTGGGGACCGGGACATCTGTCGCCCTGCCACCCTGTTTGCTGGGCCCAGGGGTGCGTCGTTGGATGGGGCAGGCAGCGACCCGGACGGAGGGGACCCAAAGGGTGATGGCACTGTTGGCGTTTGACGAGGGATTGGTGAGTAAGAGATGATGGAATGGAGGAGTCCGGGGGCGACAGCAGGAGCGCAGGCGGGCGATGAAAATGGCAGGTGATTGGTATGTTTCACATTTTCATGTATTGCATCGGTGAAAAAATCGATCCTGGAATTTAGCAGATTTCCTTCTTCGCATTCATGGGATGGGATTGGGCTGGGGAGCGGGATTGAGCTATTGGGACTGTGCTGTTGGGTATCGTATTCTCTCAAGTCATGTTGACGATCCACAAGGCTCCAATCAGGGAAGACTGCAGAACGGGGTGAGGGCATGTACAGCTTGAACTCGAAGAAATGACACAGGATATATCATGGGAGCTGTGCCCCCAGTGCATCATTTGCGGCAGAAATGATGAGAGCAGAATTGCCCAGACTGGTGTTACTGTTGCTTCCCATGCGTCGGCAACATAATTTTTGCTGCCGCAGTTCACAGACATGTCTGGCGGACCAAGACTTTCAGTGTGTACGATTGAGAAGTCGAGCCGGGTTGGTGTTTGTAGCTTGTGGGTTGATGATCATGACGATGCTTTGGGTTTGCATGGGCCTGTGGTGGAGCCTCACCACAGTCATCCAGCTAGCATTGCTGTCACTGTCTACAGTCAAAATTGATCGTTGAGTACATCTAAGTAGAATCTGGATGTTGCCTTGGAAGTGTTGGCAGCAGTGAATGTATCAGGGTAGGTATTGTTGCTACTCATAAACGTTAACATTGTGATTAAGAATTGGTGAGCTTTCCAGGCTATGGTGCCATTTGTGCATTGTGGCCAAAAACTCAAACTCTGGAACATTGACAGGAACTCAAATAGGCCACGGCTTTAGTGTGGCGCCCGTTGTTGCCGATAAAAGATCCTGGCACACGAGTGGCACCTTGCTTTGCAGGAGGCTGTATTCCTGTGCCAGCCGATTGCAAGTGTGCTATTGCGCAGGACTATTTTTTCTTTTGCTGTTTCTTTTCTTTTTGGGGGAAGTCAGCTGGCAATTGAAGTATGAACGCGGTGTATCTGTTGTGGCTTCATGTTTGTGTTCTGGATCCAAGCTTGGGGAATGGTATGGGATGAGGCCGTGGGAGTTTTCCGGGATTGAATGTGCCATAGCATTCCATTGAAACTTAGCTATCACACAGTTGAGAGATGCCTTCGCTGTGGCTTTCGTCAACACTTAAGCATTTAGTTTTGATTTGCTTTTGGTTGGGCGGGACTGACCGGCAACCGTCACGTCACGCGACCGACCAGCCAGTGCCTTTCGAGTGCTTGATGCGGGTTTTTGTACAAAGTGGTGGCGGTTGGCGGGGGCTGGGTGACTTTGGCAGGCCAGCACAAGGGGCTGGGTGCTGGCATAATGTGGACGCAGCTGGTGGACTATGAGGGTTTGGGTGATGGTGAGCTTGTCAAAGAGAAATAAGCGGGTGTCGGTACTTTGAGTTGCAGCCGCTGGTGGAGCGTTGTTTGGGGTTGCAGCGGCCTTGGAAGATAAAGAGGAAGGGGCAGCTGGCAGAGCTGCCTGTGCTCCTTCGAGCGGTGTATACTTTAAACTCGGTGTGGTTTTGTTAACGGACGCACAGCACGCCAAATCGGCCCAAGAAGGGATGTGTGTCGACTGGAAGAGAGCGGCATCGGCCTGCCGAAAGCCAGCGCTGTGCCGAACATTCTGGCAAAGGTTGTTCAGAATCGTTTCTCTTCAGGGCTTTCCGGTCCTGGGGAAATTCCGCAAGACCTTCGCCCGCCGCCGTGACTAATGCATCCAGCCAGGACCCCAAGGCCCGGAGGAGTGAGCGTCCCACATTTGCTGACGTTCGTCCTGGCCACAAAGCGGCACAGGCCCATCATTCAAGCAGTCGGCGGCCGCGGTTACGTACAGTACTGCGGTCACAGATCACGGTACTTGTGGTTACGTACAGTACTTTGTTCCCCAGGCACGGTACATTCGGTATTTACCCCCACCCCCTGCCACGTCACCCACTTGGCTCCCACATCAGCTCCCCCCCCGCTCTCCGGCCCACGCCGGGCCCCCGCTTTGCGCCCCTCCCCCCCCCCGCCCCTTGCCGCGAATGTACTAGCCCCACGTGACCCCCACAGCCCTCAAGGTACGCCGAGTACGTGGGGTGGGCCGCTCGGTCCCTCGACGGGGCCACGTGCCCCGGGCCCTGCCACGTGGCCACCGGGGACTCCCCTCGATTGGGGTCGCTTTGTAGCATCCCACGCGCCCGAGCACTGTCCCAAGGGCCGGCGCTCTCGCTCAAGGGGCCTTCAAGTCGCGCCCCGGCAAAGCCCCGTCGCCATTCCACCGCGCGCAGCCGGCCGGCGGCCAACTCTCCCGACGCATTCCGGGCGCCACACCGGCGCTTTCCAGGGAATCCAGAAACCTGCAGGTCCCCGCCGAGAGGTGAGTTGAACTTCGGCAAGTCCCAAGACGCGCTGTCCTTGTTTTGCTCCCCGCCCGCTGGCCGCGCTGTTGAAAGCCCGGCAGCGGGAGGTGGGGCGTGTGGTGATTTGGACGTGCGTGCGCGAATTCGCTTGACGCAGGGCGAGGGCGCGACGCGAATGGTGACGATCGCGGAGGCCTGGGACTCGGACATGGACGGGGCCTGCCTGCGGGGCGGCGCGGGCGGCGACTGGCGGGAGGGGGGAACGTCCACCTCGGCCAGGGAGCCGCTGACCATCAAGTACTCCACCAGTCAGAAATCCCTGAAAGAGGAGGTGGGTCAATCGCCACGGTCGTTTCCAGTCATGTTTTCCGCGAACCGACATTGCTTGTTCCCGACCAACGCTGGGCGGAAGACGGCGGGGCGGTGGGCCCCTTTGGGTGTTTGCCCGCGCGATGCGCCGAGGGAGCGGCTTGTGGTCCTGGCGGCCGACGTTCGGAACCTTTGACGGAGGCACCCGCGTTGCGCGCCATGCACACGTGGCGCGGTTCGGCCTGGACGCCCAGCGACCAGCAGCCGGCGAGATCCGCGCTGGGCCGCGACCCCTCCGCGTCGGCATTCCATCGCCCCGTTCCCTGCGCGACGCCCCGGCCGCCGAATCCCGCCCAGGTGCCCTTGGGCTCATTTGCTGCTATCGCAGGCTCGCGCCACCGCCGCCCTTCGACTCGCTGAACTGCGGAGCCCCGCCGACTTTGGCGCGTCCCCCTCCCCCCCACTCCTCTGATTTCCGCACCCATCGGTATTCGATCCCATTCCCCCGAACCGCCCTCTGTTCCCCCGTTATGTCGGCCTTGCCGCTGAGCCCCATCCGCCCTTCCTCCCCGCAGGACGTGATCTTCGCCCGCGAGGGCGTCACCTTCGCCAAGGGCGGCCCATCGTGGTCCATGTACTGTGTCTGCGACGGCCACACCGGCGTGACGGCGGCGCACTACGTGCGGGACGCCCTGTGCCCCGTGCTGGGCGCCCTCCTGCCGGACACCCCCCTGCCGCCATACGGCAGCAAAGGTACCCCCCGCGTCTGCCCCCTGGCCGGAGTACGGTGCGTCGGCGCCACCGCGCGCTGGAGTCCCGAACCGACCGATACGGGCCCCTTTGTTTGTTGACGGGTTGACCTGGCGTGGTCGCTGAACCCTGTGGGCAATGCCAGTCGGGCGTGGCGGAGTTGAGTGAGTTGGCCGGGGGGGTGGGGTGGGACAAACTCGCGTGATGGGGCAGGCTGTGAGGTGGGGCTGGGTTTGTATGACGGACTGGCGGATCCGCGTGGCGCTGATGCGGCGGGGGGCTGCCAGTCTGACTCGCACGGCGGGCGTGGACATCTCGCGTTGGGGCAGGCGATTGGCCCCTCCGTGAGGATCCTTTCTTGTTTCGGACGCTCTGAACCCTAAAAACCACTGACCCACCGACCGGCGTTGTCCTTGTCAGCACAAGAAGAAGGGGTTCTCGCGGAAACGACAGAGCGACTGATGTATTCTCCGCGTTGGTTGCCCTTCGGGGTGCGTGTGTCGTGCCGGCCCTCGGGGTGGACGGTCGGTCAAGTTCGATGAATTTGGCGGGTGGTGGACTAAATTCTCTGTGAAATGGAGGAATGGAATGGTGCTGAGAAATGCTGGTTGCGTGGGACGGGGCTGAGCAGCGTCAGCGCCTCCCTGGCTTGACTCGGTTACTGCGTACCTGAGCACTCTGCCGGCTCGAGCGCAAACAGCTGCTCCAAGTAAATGCATGTTGTTCTGCTTCCTTTCGAATCGCTCTTTTGGCGCCGTCTCACACTTTATTGGGTCGTGACTACCGAGTTCGCACGTAATTGGGGAATGGCTGCTGACGTCACGTCCCTCATCCACGTCGAGTGTCAAGTGATTGGGTGGTCATGTTTTGTTTATGATACATTCGTCGAGGATTGAACTGTGATGTCTTCTGTCTCGCAGAATTCGAGTCGTTTACTTACGACGTGGGGACGGCATTGGTTGAGGCGTTCGTGAGGATAGGCCAAAATTTTACAGAGGACAACCCGAATGACGTTTCTGGTGAGTGTGTGCAACCATACGGCCATAGGACCAATCCCTGTCCTGGCAAGGCCGCTGCTTCAGAACATCAAGCTGCCAGGCACCCAAGCTGTGGCTGGCCCGCCCAGCCCTTCTATTTTGCAGTGGTGGCGGGAGTCCAGGCTCGAGCTTGAATGTCTTTCATTTTGCAGTACAACTGTTGCAATGTGTCGCATTATTTTCTTTTTCTTGTTCTCTTCTTCTTTTCTTTGTCCTTGTTCGGTAGCAACACTGGCTCATGCCAATGTGCTGATTACATGCTGCCTGCATCGCTGACAATGGATCGATACCAATCCATGAATTTTATACATTTCAAGCAACATTGCATGTCAAGGACAAGGAGGCACCTGTCCGCTCCCCCATCCACCCTAACAAAGCCCCCTCTCTGTGTGTCCCTTCACCTCCCCCTCAAGCAGTAAAAAAACAACGGAAATACGCTACAAAGCAATAGAAACAATAACAAAGTACAAAACTCTATTACAACATATATTACCTTTAAAGCATAACAGTACACATGGCTTGTTTTAAGATGATCAACTTTTTCGGGTCCAGCCACCATTCCCTTTCCCCGCCCCTTCTCCCACTTTCCCCAGCGACCGACGCGTGTCGTACTATGTCCAGCCCGCAATGTTGAGGGTCGCCCGAATGACACAGATGTGCATTGCGTCACATGTGCCCCTGCCCAGAAGCTCGTATGTGCCCCTGCCCAGTGCATCGTACGTGCCCCTCCCCCCTCCCGCCACAAACATGTTGAATTCAAACCTGTCCCCTGCCCCAGGCTGCACCGTCACCGTGGCCCTCCTGTGCGGCCGCCTGCTGACCGTGGCCAACGTGGGCGACTCCGACGCCGTCGTGGACACTGGCACGGACGCCTTCCTGGCCACCGCATGCCACCGCATCGAGGACAACGCCGGGGAGCGCGAGAGGCTCACGTCGCAGGGAGTGCGCTTGGGGAGGCTGTCGCCGTCGCTGACGCACGTAGCGGCGCCCGGCGAGAAGGGCGTGGGGCCGCTGAGGTGCTGGCCGGGGGGGCTGGCGGTGTCGAGGTCGATCGGCGACGCGGAGGCGGGGGTGCACGTGCTGACGTGCCCCAACGTGTGCCAGGTGCGGATCGGGTCGTTTGCGTGGAATTGCGTGGAATCGCGTGGAATGGTGCCGAATTGTGCAGAAGCTGTACAGCATTGCGTGTAAATCGTGCAGAATTGCGTGGAAATTGTGCAGAACTGCGTGGAATTTGTGCAGAAGTTGTGTAGAAGTTGTGTAGCATTTTGTCGAATGGTGTGAAGTTGTGTTTACACTGACAGCTTTTTGTCGACCTGCCCTTCTCGATTCCCTACTTTACCATCCAAGATCCAGTTCCCAACCCCTGTCTGTTGATTGCGTTCCTTATGCAAGGTGTTGATTCATGAATTGTGGATGAATACCGTGACTGAAACGCCACCATGTGTGCGTCGGATATGAGCACTACCCGTGCATCTCAGACTCCCAGTATTACCCAATATTAAGAAACGGCGTGTTATTTGTATGCTGGCAAAACCAATGCATTGCATCATCCTTTCCAGAGTCCTACCAGAAGTTTTCAATTAGTGAATCATTCGGCTAGAGACAAAAAAACACAAGAGGGGGTCACAGCAGGGCTTACCAATTAAACGTTTATCACAGCAGAGGGAAACGCAGAATGGCAAGCCACCAACTCCCTGCCAATGACCCCTAGGTGGTGCACAAGTTGCACAGCAAGGACACTGACGGTTTTACCTGTTTCAAATCATTACCTCCCACTAAAAATGCATCTCAATTACCCCCAGCTAGCACGCAGGTACCACATCAGGGACGCTGGCCTGCCCTTATTCCAAATCACGATTTTCCAAAAAGTGTGCTTCAGACGCATTTTTAGTTGAAAGGTAATGATTTCCAACAAGAATACGAATTTGGAATGAGAATCTGTTACGAGCTTCTCGTAATAGGCAGGAGGGCAACAAAGGCGCTGACGTCTGGGCCCCGCCTCGATCCAGGTCGTCCTGCCGAGGAGCGGCGCCAGGGTGCTCATGGGCTCCGACGGCCTCTGGGACCTGATCGCCTGGGACGACGCCGTGCGCCTCATCCGCCGCACCCCCGCCTCCAAGGCCGCCTCCCGCGTCCTCACTCAGGCCCTCTTCCAGCACAACTGGTGCTTCACCGACGACACGTCCGCCCTCGTGCTGGACGTCCTGCCCGCCCACAGGGGCGACTTCCCATCCCTCGTGAAGGAGAAGCTGAAGAGGCAGCGCAAGAGGCAGGGCGCGGATGAGGGGTGCGGGGGGTTCAGCGCCTGCTTCTGCGGCGTCCCCAAGGCGCGGGCGCTGGACGTCGGCGCCTGCGAGGAGGATCAGCACGAGGTGCTGGCGGCGATAGACGGCTGGGAGCTGCTCAGGGACGCCCAGGAGCTGTCCCCCAACGACAGCTGCTCCAGTCTGACCGAGATGACGCGCCAGGCTCAGCGGGAGTTGCCGGCGGCGGACGTCAAGCTGAGGACGGGACTCGGGGGGGGAGGGGGGAGGGAGCACACGCCCAGCCTGAACGGGGCGTGGCGCAAGCTCACGGGGGGAGCCTACGCGAACGAAGTCGTGGAGTCGGAGCACAAGGAGGCGGAGAGGAGGCGACCCGAGGCGGTGCTGGACCCCGTGGACAAGCTGCAGCAGTCGTCGGAGTGGCTGATGTCCTTCGCGTCGAGCCACACGAGGTCGGACGCCGTGGATGCCGTGGAGGTGGACACGTCGAGCAAGGGCGACGAGGCGTCGCTGAGGCATTGGATGAGGATGCAGCGGTCGGGGGAGAGGCCGCCCAGGCCGCACGGCGCCTCCCGCCGCGGGTAGTTGGGCGCGGCGCGCCGTGATGGGCCCCAAGGGCCTGCGTCGCGCTCGTCTGCGTTGCCTGAGGGGGTTCGCCAAGGTGAGCGAAAACCGGGCGAGAGAGATGGTGAGAATCTGTAAGATGGCGTAGATGTGCCGGCCGGCCGGTAAATAAGGTGCTGGAGGATTTGCGCACAGTCGATCGCGGGGACGTGCGCCGGCGAGTTTGCCCGCTGCACAGGCGGTTGGGCGCTGTCGTCACGAGGAGCTCAAGGAGGGCCTCCAAGGTCAGGCGCGCTGGTTGGCCTGTTGTGTTGTAGACTTTGTACAGTTTTCGTTAATTGGCCGGTCCACCCGATCCAACCGAGTAGAGAGGTCGAGGGAGTCCGACGTCAACGGGGGAAGTCATAGCAGTCTGAACAAGCTCGCCTTCGGTGGTTGGCTTGCCCGATTGAACGAAGTGGGGGAGGCATTGAATCGAATTTCTTGGGAGGAATTGATACCTTCGTGCCGACTGTGGCACTGAATGGGGTCCCAGGGCTCTCATCAGTGGATGGCCGCAAGCGAGGCGCTGCCTGCAAGTGCAAGCTTAGTCATACGAGGGCCACAAGGACACAAGGTGGTGATGACATGTTAGGTTTCCGCCATATGTGAGGCCAATGCAGTGACGCAGCATGACCTTTGGCCGATGCCCGCCACTGGCACTTGGGTTCACGTGATTGGCCATGGCAACATGTCAATAGGCCGTTTGTGGGTTCAATGTTCAATGGACTGGCATGAGGGCCCTGTTTGGTTTGGCTGGCGCCTTGCTCAGCCGTGAGGCTTGTGGATGGAAATGAAGTGGCGACCTGGAGGTGCACTGTGCTGCCGCCTCTCAGGTAGTGACACGTTGAGAGCAGCAAGACCTGGTGGGGGATTTGGAGATTGTTAGCGGGGATTTCGTTTCTTTGACCCCTTTGTCCCTGGGGGGTCTCAACGTTGCCAAGTTGTAGTAGAAAGATGCATGCATGGTGCAGGGCATTGTATCTTCAACAATCGACAGGGAGAGACATTCAATACCTGCATTGTAATATTATTGTGAGCTGTGGCGCTCACCGCATCAGTGCCTTGGCGCTGCCAGAGGCGTGCTGAATTGTCTACGGCACATGTGGTTCGATGCATTGCGGCGACTGGAGCATCTTTGGGATGGAAAAACTCTGTTTCTTCCAAATTGCAAACACTGGTTGTTCTCCTTCGCGCCATTTCTTTCTTCGTACTCCACAATGGGTGCTTTGGTTTCGAAGTCCAGGCGCACGTGCAATACTGCAGACGAACAAGAAGTGCCTCGCATGCTGAGAGCTGGATACTTCGAGAGCGTGGGAAAGCCACCCACCTCAGCGAAACGTAGTGCATGCTGGTCAAAACCAGCTCGTATTCTTCCCATGTTGACAGCACCAGGCATTTTGCAAATGGAGTGTGTTCACCACGGGCGAAGGCAGGCAGGATCCAGGGGTGGCAATCCCCTACTGAGTATACCGCAACGGGAGGACAACAGGGGTACTGTCCCTTATATCCAGTCCATTGATCAACGTGTGTTCGAATTCCAACACAGTGATCAACATTTGTTGGACATGGAATTAACTATCCTGTTAATGGGTTTCTGCTAAGGACGACGATTGGGTGGGCGCGCAACGGCCAGGGTGGGCCGTTCCGCCCTTTGGGACAGTTTGGGCCATCCATCAGCCGGTTTCTGTCACCCCTGTACTCGGGGTCAGTGCTGCCCGACGCACCCAAGGGCGGTGGGGTTGATCCTTGTACCTTGGGCGCAGCCAAGGGGACCGGTCAAGCTGGCCCTTGGGTTTGGCGGGGAGTTTGGCGGCAAGTGGGAGCGGCTATTTTAGGCGCGACCCTTGGCGCCCCCCTTTATCTTGTTTCGCTTCGCGCCAACACTTTGGCACAACCCGGAACCACCGAGTGGTTCGACCTTCCGGCCTTCGCGCCGAGTCCTTTCTGTATGAACCCCAGCCCTGCCGAACAGTGGCTGCGGGCACAGGCGCTTCGTTTCAACCAGCGCCTCCCTGACTGTCCTATTGAGGTCACGTGGGTTTCTGACCCCCGCTTACTCCCCCGCTCAGTCAACAACCGGGTCGCCAGGCCGGACTTCACGTCTTTTCCGGCGTGGTTCGACGTACGGGAGACCGGCCAGGGCCAGACCGTCGCCGCGGCCTTGGGACCCAACTCTGGCTACTTCCAGGAGTACGCGAGCTGGGCGCCGTGGGTCGCGTGGCAGTTCGACTTTGTGGCGTCCTTCGTGGACCTTGTCGCCCATCCGAGTCTACCGCCTTCGATACGGGATCTCCTCCTGCCGTACGTTTACACCTCGGTGGCCATTACCGAGCGGCAGGTCGACCAGTTGCGCCTCCATCAAGTGCACGTGAAGCATCGCGGCACCGGGCTCGAGGGATCCTGGCGGGCTCTGCAGGCCCAGATCCGCCTCAGCGAGCCCGAAGGCGGCTTCACCACCGACACCATCGACGGGACTCTCAGCGCCATTCGCAAGGAGCTCCTCACCCAGGAGGTCAAGCTTGCGACCAAGGCGGCCGCGGCCAGCCGGGCGTCCAAGGCGGGGAGCGGCGATCCTCCTCCCCATTCGAGTGGCTCGTCGGGGAAGTGGGGCAAGAGGCGCAATCCCCCTCAAGCGGTGCGTCCACCTCCGGACGCCTGACCGACTTCCCGTATAATCGCACCCGCGGACGCCTCTTGGCATGGCGGAGGATTGGAGCACCATCGCACATGCTGCAATGGATCCATTCCGGCGTCCCCCTGCAATGGGGACCCCAGGGGCCTCCCCCGCCCTTCGACCAGGGGGAATACCCGATCCGTTCGGCGGAGGAGCGAGCGGGCTGGACGGCGCTCCGCGAAGAGTATTTGGCGTCGGGAGCCATTGTCAAGGTAGCCCCCGGTCCCGCCTCGCGCATTTCGCGCGCTTTCTTGGTGGAGAAGGGGCGAGAGAACGGGGTTATGAAGTACCGTTTGTGTGTCGATCTCCGCCGAGTCAATCGGCACCTCCGCAAGATGGGTTTGCGGTATGAGAAGCTGCGGGATTTCGGGCATTTGTTGAGACGGGACGATTTTTTAGTCGGATTTGATATTAAGGATGCCTACCATCACTTGAGGATGCGTTTGGCTAACGAATGTTTTTTGCAATTTCGAATGGGCGGGGAGGTCTTTGCTTGCCGCGCCCTCCCCTTTGGGCTCTCTTTATCACCTTACTTTTTCACCCATTTTATGTCGGTCGTAACCCGTTTCCTTCGATCTCGGGGTTCGTGTGCCAAAGCGGCGCGCAAGTTCCGTTTTGGCAGTCTCGCGGGGAATGATTCGATCTTCCGCTACTATGTGCGTTACACGATCGATGACCCCGCCATCATACTGGCTTATCTGGACGACTTTTTGGCTGCCATGAGTAACCCCCAACAATTGCGGGAATGGTCCCAATTAGTTAGGGAAATTTTCGGGGCCTTGGGGATTCACTCCAAAGACCGCAAGTGCCAGTGGGAACCCGTCCGGGTCAAGCGGCACCTTGGGGTGGTGGTGGACTCTACCGCGTGTCGTTTTTTCGTTCCACGGGACAAGGTGGCACTCATTGCCGAAAAAGCTCGGGTTCTTAGGGCCCGGCGCTGGGTGGTGGCTCGCGACCTGGCCCGTTTTTGTGGGTTGGCCATTTCCGTTTATTTGGCCTTTCCCCTTGCTTGTTTCTTCCTTCAGAGCCTTTATGCGGTGCTCCGGACCAAGCGCTCTTGGCGGGATCGCCTGCAGCTCACCCCGCAAGCGTGCCTCGATCTGGAGGCGTGGAGCAATCTGCACCGTTGTGATGGCCGCCCCCTCAATCCGGATGCCGTGCCGTTTGCGGGCACCTTGGCTACGGACGCTTCCTTGACGGGCTGGGGCGCGACTTTCACCGCACCGCATGACGAACAGCCTCGGCTGGCGCGAGGCTTCTTTGATCGATCGTTGACGCACATCAATGTGCGTGAAATGCAGGCGGTGGCTCTGGCCATTCGGGCCTTTTTTCCGCCCGCTTCCCCCTCGATCTCGGTGTGGGTCCGCCTGCTCATGGATTCGCAGGTGGTCCTGTTTTGTATCCGCAGCATGACGACGGGATCCGACCAGCTGCGCGGACCTCTCCGCCAACTGCAGAAGATCTGTTCGGCTCGACGTTTGCTCCTCGACCCGGAGTATATCCCGTCCAAGGCGAATACCATCCCGGACCAACTGTCCCGAGTTCGGGGGGGCGAGGATTACAGCCTCCATCTGGCCATCTTCCGGGCCATTACGAGGCGGTTAGGGGAGCGGACCATCGATCGGTTCGCTTCCCATCTGAATTCCCTCTGTCCCGCCTTCAATTCGAGGCACCACGAGCCCCATTCTTTGGGGTTGGATGCCTTCCTCCAGGACTGGACGGGCGAGGCCAACTGGGCCAATCTGCCGTGGTCTCTCCTCCCACGGCTCACGGCCTTCCTGCGGCACCATCCGGCGGTGGAAGCGGTGGTCTTGGCGCCGGACTGGCCGTCGGCCATGTGGTTCCCGCGCCTACGACGTCTGGCTTCGGCGGAGCTGCGGATTCCCCGCCGACCGGGCATGTTCACGCCGGGCGATCCATCGATCCCGGCCCGTCTGCCTCCCCCCCGGTGGAACCTCCAAGCCTTTTACATCCGGCCGCGGACCCGGGCTCGGATTCCGACGCGGGACCACCCTCTTCCCGCTCGGACTCGCCGGTCGCGGACCCCCTCCCGGTCGAGGTAATGCCGCCCGATCACCCGTTGTTTGGCTGTGATGTGGACGGCCTGTCCGCGTCCGATCGGTCGTGGATGCAGGGATAGTTTCTCTCCTTTTATACCGAGTCTACGCGGCGATCAATGCATCAGAAGTTCGACCGCTTTGCTGCCTTCTGCGCGGCGCACGACCTGGCCAGCCTGCCCACGCGCCCTTCCTCCATTTACCGGTACATCCGTTTTCTGCGGGAGGAAGGCCGGGTGGGGGTCCGCAGTCTCCCCCAGTATTTGGCGGCCATTTCGATGGTCCATCAGGCCATGGGCCACCTGGACTTTTCCGCCTTCGATCCCGTCACCCGGCGCCTTACTCGGGCATGGAGGCGGCAGGAACCGGAGCCGGCCCATTCGCACCGGCCGGTTCCCACGGATCTGCTGCGATCGATCCTGGAGTTCGGGCGGGAGACCGACGACCTGCGCCTCCTTCGCGCGGCCTGCTCGGCTACCTTAGACTTCCTGTTTTTCAATCGGGCCCAGAGCGGCCATTTGATCCTCCTCGACGATATCCGCCTGGAGAATGGCCTGCTGGTGTTTCACGAGCGCCGGACCAAGCTCTCGGCGTCGACGGACCCCAGCATGCGGTGCCGGTCCGGGCCCTCGGCGGGCGCCCCTGCGGTGCTTGATCTTTTCCTCCGATGGTCGGCAGCCCGGGAGAAGGCGTGGGCGGAGGCGGGGGGCGCCTCCCAGCACTTCTACACGCTCCCGGGGGAGCAAAACCCCTCCGCACGGACGGTTTCGGGCTGGTTTCCTCTGCTGCAGCAGGCCCTTCCGTCACCGCCCCCCGAGCCCTTCGATCACCACGGACTACGCGAGGGGGGCGCGAGCGCCTGCTACGCCTTGGAGGTGCCGGAGGGTCGCATCAGCGCCTGGAGCGAGTGGCGCAGTAACGTTATGTGGAAGTACATCGACGTGTATCGGCTGCCGTCCGAGTGGGACTTCCGTCTTTTGGTTGGATGACGCTAACGGCCCGTGACTTACACGCCCAGTACGGGCACATCTTCTGCCCGGGCGGTGCATCATCGGCCCGAGGGTGACCAAGGCATGACCACGCCTTTGCTCCGGAGGAGCTGCACCGTGCCCCAGTGTGAGTGGGCACATTTTAAGTGGGTCGCCAATCGGGTCTTGTACTAGTGAGGTGATGGACACCAAACTGTGTGAGTGTAATGTATTGTCGTGTGGGGAACATGGGGGGGGTTGAAGGAGACCGGTAAGGCAGAAATGGAATTAACTATCCTATTAATGGGTTTCTGCTGAGGACGACGATTGGGTGGGCGCGCAACGGCCAGGGCGGGCCGTTCCGCCCTTTGGGACAGTTTGGGCCATCCATCAGCCGGTTTCTGTCACCCCTGTACTCGGGGTCAGTGCTGCCCGACGCACTCAAGGGCAGTGGGGTTGATCCTTGTACCTTGGGCGCAGCCAAGGGGACCGGTCAAGCTGGCCCTTGGGTTTGGCGGGGAGTTTGGCGGCAAGTGGGAGCGGCTATTTTAGGCGCGACCCTTGGTGCCCCCCTTATCTTGTTTCGCACCTGCCCGGCCCACCCGAATAGTGTGAGTTCGGTTAGCTGTGGGATGGAGAGGGAGTTGAGTACGAGGAAAGGGGAGCTGACTCTGGGTTGAGTCACCATCAGAGTGGCATTAAGTACTATGCGAAGCGAGGGGCACATTTTAAGTGGGTCGCCAATCGGGTCTTGTACTAGTGAGGTGATGGACACCAAACTGTGTGAGTGTAATGTATTGTCGTGTGGGGAACACGGGGGGGGTTGAAGGAGACCGGTAAGGCAGAAACCGAACTCCAGAAAGAAAAGAAAAGGTGCGTCAAGGAATTGATGTCTTTTGAAAAGGCATACTTTTCAACTGAAGCGAACAAGTGGTTGTCTTCTCCCATCGAACCACGACACTGTTTCAAGCATGCTATATGGGATCATTTTGTTATCTCTCACCGCCGGCACCAGACACTGTCGTCAGCACTGGTTTCTCCAGCATGCAGCCGCGAGGGGCAATGTGCATGATCATCGTTGAAGACCTATTAAAGCTGAACCAAGGAATGGAAGGGTAGACTTAGCCCCATTTTTCACAAATTTTTGTTTTCCAGTGTCACCAGCTCAAAACTGCTGTGTATATCTGTTTCATCCGCGCTTGGAAGCTTCTGCATTATATCTGCAGCTAGAAATTCTACTTGATTTTACTAATACAGTGATATACTGATATCTAGTCACACAGACACACATACGATATAGCGACAAATATTATTGCGTTGAATTATATCAGAACTCTCATACTGAGATGGCCTTCAGAACGCCTCGTGTAGCTTTCTGGAGATGGGAGGTTGCGCTTTCCGTTTTATGCAGAGCATTCCAGCTGGTCCCCAGAGCAATCGCTCTGGGCCATGCATGCGGGCAGCTTCACTGCGCAAGCTAAATTCCACACTACGCTTCCGTGCAGCAGAATCTGTGCAACAATGCCCTACTCAGCAGTGAACGCTGTTGCCCTCTAATTTCTCTGCTCCTTTCGGTTTCATTTTTGCTGAATAGCGTTTTTCCTGACTGAGAGAATTAAAGACTGTTCTGCGTTAGGCGGCCTGTCATTGGATTAAACGAACGGTATTGTCGAGGTATCAGCACACGGAATCAGAGCGGATATGCTTCAGGTCAACAATCTGATCTTCCACAGAATTTGTGCAATGCCTCAAGATTGCATTGGTTATGCAACGGAGTCTTGGGCATGTGCAGTATGGATTCCATTGTGAGACCTTGCAATTAATGGAGCAATTCAAACTTTTAGCAATGCTTCTGGATGCTAAAATCCCCTGCCTGATGCCTCAATTTAGGCCGGAGGTCCTCTCCTATATATTAGTGGCGTGCATTGGAGTGGCGTGCATTGGAGTGGCGTTTATGGGCTTGCTATCCGGCTTCACCATGTCCCTGCACGGATTGAACTGCGTCCACACCACAATGCACTTTCTGGGCGCGCTGCTTACGTGGACTTTTACAGCTGAGGTGAAGTCCTCCCTCGCCCCCGAATTGAAATGCGCCAATCCCGCATCTGCTGTGACATTCGGGTTAAGACTGCCGCTTCAGACCCACTGGGGTGGGCAACGGATTGCACCCTGCAAGTCAGCATAGAAAGCTCAGAAGCATGGTGAGCGACATACTTGATTCCTTATTTCCAGTGCTTGACTCCTTGCGGTGAAAGACCAGTAGTCTAGCAATAAGAGGATTCAAAAGTGACATAAGTCGGCGTTTCGAGAGCGGCATGCCTACAAACGCCAATGCATTCGCTGCTTCACGATCTTGTTGATTGCGCGTAAATCTTCGTTATCGGCAACTTGTGCGCAGTTCGCTAATTGTTTCCAGAGTCAGCGTCATGAACGGAACGCAAAAGAGTCAAACAATATTTCGTTACGGTTGAACTTGGTAGGCATCCCGGCATCCATAATATGTGGAATGACAAGAATTCTCGTCCCTCTATGGGTGCCTTGGCATTGATGCCATTGTATTCCTGCGTGTTCTAAAAAGTCATTATACATGATGAAATTGCGATCCCATGTCGCCGCATCAGGTGACAGCTGCAGCAGACAAACATACCAGTTGAAGTGATCAGGTTCATGTTGGCCAAGAGGGCGAGTCCCTCCCCGATGAGACCCTTCTGGCTTTCAGACAGTCCACGTGTCTGATTGATGCAACAAGCGACGGCGATAGGGAATGCAGTCAGTACAGAGGTGTGAAATTTGCGTCGCTGTGTCGCAGCATTGGGAGAGTCGGCTGCGCTCGTAGGGCTGGTGTTCATCTTCAGCGGCATTTGTGATCTGGTTGTGGTGGCTTCTGCACTCCGATGACGCCCTCATGCTCCCACTGCCTCACGTCATGTTTCGCTTGTTGCTCTGCCTCAAGTTCTGCTTGCCGCGCCACAAGTGACATCATGGCAGGCCCCTCTGCACTCTTCCAACGACGAAGGGGCCTGCGCCTTTGTACTCCGCACACTCAAGTGAATGCATTTCGGAAGCTGGAGGTCTTGCTGTGCCAACGCAATTCGCGAAGATGGGGACGTTTATTGACGGCGGAACCTGATTCTCCTCGACTGTGAAATAGCGAACAGGTGATAAACGAATCGTCACCCACAAACATGCACAGAACAAGTCGCATCCATTCTAAATCTGCATCCTAAGTTACAAACATTTAGAAGGCAGAGATATTCCCCGGGTGTAAAGGAGCGCGTTGAAACAGGGAGGCCTGGGCCAGAGCAGGCAGCAGACCACGACAAATGCTAACTTGGCCAGCATTGCTAGGCTCGGATCTACCACATGTCCTCGCTGCAGTGGGGAGTGACCGCACTTTACCCACAGCACAAAGCACTGCGCAAAAGTGCGACCGTCGTGCTCAACCTCTCGAGTATTAGCGCCTGGGCCTGGATGTGTGCTGCCGCATCTCCCTGATTTGCGGCTGACGGCCAACGCCTTGCAACCTCCTCCCACAACCTCCGTGTGGAGCGAATGACAATCAGGATCGTGTTGTTGGACCGTCCAGTGTCGGCTATCGCATTGCATCGCCGTTCTTGATGCCAAGGGCTGACGTGCGGGATCAGGAATTCCCGTCACCAATGTGCGCAGCGCTGTGTCTACCAGAGCCAGCAAATGTGTCTACCAGAGCTCTAGCGCTGCAAAAAGACACGTTAATTGAATCGTCTTGGCACAAACCCCTCCAGCAACAGCCATAGCGAGGCTTGATAAGGGTCGCCGTCTTCTTGCAGGATTCTTTACACCATACCTAAGTTTGCCATCGTTCCACTGCGCTCTGCTCTTCGCCATGCAGGAACACAATTTGCTCTCTTCAAAATGGCGTTTGACGAAAACAACCCTTGGCATCCAGTTGTCGCGCAGAAGTTGTATACTTTGCAGCCAAATACGGATGCTACCCACTGCTGGTTCCATTGTGGTGCATCAGAATCCCATGGGAATGTTGGCTGACGCCAAGTGTCACTTTCAGAATGCATGGTTTGCCAAGAATACATAGATTAACTCTAATCTGATCATCTACAAGCAGAAAACTGTTGTATGCCAGGCACGCAGCCAGAGGCAAAATCAGCAGCATACGCCGCCCCATCTGGTCAATGCATCTGCTACTTCCGCAGCTTAAGCACAGGAACGATTCCAAGGCTGCCATGTCTCCACTCAACTGCAAACGGCGAACGCACCCTTCCCTGCAGCTCTCCCCTGCAGCTCTCCGTTCCTCTAAGATTCAATTCTCCACATAAAGAATGAAATGAATGGAGCCATTCCTTTGGTGTTTCTATCCATACTGCAGCACTTGGTCCAAACACGTATGCTTGACACCCAGACTGCCCCTCCACTGAAGCATTCTGGCCCATTTCTCTGCAGCTGCACGTTGCCACATTCCCGCCTTTTGAAGCAGCCCCTTCCAGGGTTGGGGCGTCCCAAGCCACATCGACAGGGGCCACGTCTTTGAGACCAGATAGCATGTGTGTTCCTGTGACTGTCTCCAGGACGGCAGTCGCTAGACAGTGCTCTACCCAGTTTCTGCTAAGTGCTGCATAGCTTGCAGGAGATGCCGCTCACACGAGTGAGTCAATCAGACTCGCACGCATCTCCTTGACAACAGCAGAGGGCTGAGCCTCCCTGAGCTTGAACACACTGCAAGGGAACAGGCAAAAGTCAGCAAATCGCCAGTGCATCGACAGTCCCTGTTCTCGCTGAGAAACAGAAGCTCTCAGTCCCATCTTCTGACTTAACAGGACATCGTCCTGTTCATGAATACCAATCTGCCAGAAGACTTTTGCCATTTGGCAGTGCTAGTCACTGACACTTAGCTCTCTTTTGATTTCAACCCGAATGGTGACTGGGTTGTCAAGTAATGAACACCGTCAGTGAAGAATCCCTCTCTCTGCTCTCAATGATCCTGTTGTCAGTGCAATTGCCATCTTGTATTGATTCTCTATCTCACGCCTTTAACTGCAGACATGTGCGCAAACTACCTTCGAGTCCCCAAACTAAGCCGGCCCAAATGTTCACCCCATGGGCAGACAATCTTACAAAGTTTAGCAATGGTGGACACACCACACATATGGCTTTAAATTTGAAAGCCAATCACATCTTACAACTCCAGGCCCCTTCCACCCTTTCCACAAGTGTGACTTGTCTATTGCATGCACCATGGATGGGCACCGAAAGGCAGAGAAGGCCTCGCTTCACCTTGTCTCTCTGCGTTGTGATTTATTTCAGACTACATTTGGTCCATGATGTCCAGGCACACCCTTGGCCACAGTCAATCTACAGGGTGTCACTTTCAGACAGTGTCTTTCACAGTATTGACAAGGGACTACTTCACTTTCGGCAGGAGGACAGCAACTTAGCATGACAGCAAGCAGCGACAACGCACCTCTCGATTACAGACATCTCAGTGGCAGTCGTGTCGATCCCACAGAAGGCTGTCCAGTCATTCACCACAAGGCCCGCACCGATCACGTCACTTCCCCTGTTGATCGTTCCTGCCACAATGGGCAGTTGGAGCAACGATGACAGCTCGTCCATGTCTTGTTCAGTGGTCTTTGGGTGCACCTGGGAAAACAAGAGCCACACGTGTTTCCAGTGCGTCACTTGCATCTTCCATGAAATGGATAAATTCATGCACCTGATTCATTTGTCAGTGACAACAAACCCACTCACATGCAAAAGAGCAAACCACTTGGTTGGCTGTGGCATGGCCTCTGGCAGCTGAATCCAACAATAACTATGATGCATGATGTGTTAATCTCACCTTCTGCACATGGCCAGCGACTGCAGTCGGGTCCAATGTGCAAGATTCTGTTCCTGAAATCCGAGTCTGAAGTGTGCAGTGCTTTTGCTTGGGTCTTATTAGCTGTTTGAACAGGTCTGAGATGAAATGTGCACATGAGCATCGGCATAAAATCTTCAGGGTAATGGTTCAGCAATCTTAGTGGCATTCTCATCAAATAGCGCAAACAATAGATCGCATTTGTCTCCATCCAGCAGGCATTCATCCAGCCACCTGAACAGCAGAGCAAATGGCACATGTTCTCTTTCATAAACTCACCATGCCTCCTTGGTTGGTGAAGGCGCAGTAGCTACCCACAAGAACATTCCCAGCAATGCTTTGATGGAAAACCTCCACCCCCAAAACATCAGCAACGAGCTCTTCAGTTTCCTGCAGCAACACAAAATCTGTCACAAAGCATACACACAATGCCCAATAGGTGTCACAACCTCTTCCCACCTGTCTACAAATAATGCACTCACACAGGTGAGCAGTTAGTCGAAACTGGAATCGATTTGGACTGCTGCTGTATCAACAAAATTGAGAGTAGTTATTTTGCTGGTTCACAATGCCTTTATTGCCTTTGGTGCTTCGAAGACAACAGCACCATCCTTGATTTTGGCCTGTACGTCTGTCAAAAAATCCAAAGGCCATTTTTCCTAATTTCTGTGATACTACATGCATGCCGCAGCCCAAACTCCCACTACGACGCCCAAGCTGTGCAAGCAAGGTAGACAATTCCCCATTAGCAGAGAGTCCAATACAACATGCAGGCCTCTTTTTGTTCAACAATTTCACACAACAAAAGCAAGCAATCATGACAATGTTACAACAACCAGATTCTATTCAGAGCAAACTCCCAGGTGGGTTTCAATTGATAGAAAGACCAGGAGATCTGCCACAGAAAAAAGGCATGGACACAGGCCGCATACGAAATAACTCTGCCCCTCCAACCCTTAAAACGCAGAAAAGCAAAATCACTTTCCAAAAGCCCACCTTATCCATGTCGGGATGGATGAGGGCAACATAGTCGTTGCAGGCTATGCAGTTTCCCAGGGCGGACAGCCTCTCGTCGATCCGCTGCACAACGACCTCATCTGGCAGAGAGTTGCGAATATGCATCATCTCTGAAGGGCAGGGAAAGGCGATCTATCAGTGCCTGGTCCTTGAAGGGGCAGTTGCATTTCAGAAACAACGAACTGGAAGAACATCTCAGCACTGCTTGAGTGAGCTTGCTGTGCCAAGTCTGGCAACTGACAACAACGAAGATGCAGGACAGCGTCCGATCAGACACTGGTGGGTGCTACCAATGCAATACGTTGTCCTGGTGTCCACTGAGAGTGCAGGTAGAGAGCGGCAGGGCGGTGGACAGCCTGTTGCAATTTGTCAAAGTAGGAAACAGCGAATGAAGGGCCAGAGCAGCTTGGATGCAAACTTGCACACTTCAACTAACCTTGGTCTGTCGTTGTGTTTGGGAGCAGCAGCCCGTTCTTGTTGCCTGTTGTGAATCCAGCCCAACAAAATTTCAGCAATGGACAGCTGACCGCTGCAACCAAACCTTGCCCAAAGGTGCGCTTGCCAACCCCAAAGTCAGCCAGTAAACTAAGTGGGATAGCACACCCACATTGACAGCAGCCCGGTGGCAACAACGATTGCCCCATTGTGGAGGAACACGTCTCAAGCGACGTGTACCCCTTCCAAACAAATGTGATGAATGCAGTGTGCCAACTGAAAAAAAATTTGCAAAGGTTTGCCAAGCAATAATACAGAACAGCAGCAAGCAGCAGTCCCGGCGATGTGCAAAGGCAACGCCCAGCAGGATGCCCAAACAGACAGATGGCCACCCTCGTACCTGCTGTCATCCTTCCCACAAGCCGTGTGCCGGCCACAGGCGCCTTCACCACTGGTATGTGGTCCGCCAGCTCGGACTCGAACACACTGAAACAGCAAATGCACGATAGTGAAGAAATCGCCACCAGCCATGACCCCAGCAATCGACCAGTGGCCTCTGAGAGGCACGGCGAGATCAGACCTCGACCGTAGGGGTATTGCGCCCCACGCTAGAGCCAAGAAAACAATGAAGCCAAAATACTCTGCAAGGTGATGCAGGGATTGCTGCGGACAGGAGGGGCACCGGGTTGGCGGCCTCCCGGTGGGCGCACCATGACCTGGCCGTCACTAACACAGTGGGCACAACACATGACGCACACCGGGCCTCGTCAGCCTGGGCATTATGCAACAGAATCTCTGTTGCAGTGGAGCACGGCTCAAACCTCCCGGCGTGCAACAAAACAAACACGAAATGGTGTGCAAATGTCGGCAAAAGGTGACGAACTGTGATCCCCGCGCAAAAGCAAAACAAACGTAACTCGCCTGTCTTTAAAGTATCCCCATGCCGGTGCCGAGGAAGCGGCTCCCACCTGTAGAAGTTCTCTGAGCCCCCCACCGCCACCAGGCAGTACGCGTTGGTCAGCTTTGCGAACACCCCGATGTCGCTGCTGTTCTCGAACTGGCTACGCGTCGCCATGGTGGTGCCTTCGCTCCGCACTGCGCGGCTGACTGGGGGGAAGGGAGTGGAGAAGGGGGGGAGAGGAGGTGGTGGTTGGAGGGCGGAAGGGGGGGGGGGGGTAAGGCTGCTTGGCGCACGAGTTGCCTGACGGCTGCCCCGGTGTGGCGTGCGCTTAAGGCCGAATACCGGGGGCAAGCGGCGGAGCCGCCCCTTCCACACCGCTTCGCCTCGCCTACGCTGCGCCTCTCCCGTTTTTTTCACCGGACAAAAAACCGCCGAGGCCGTGGGCCCAGTCGGGCGCCAGAGGACCTTGGAGAGGAAGGGGTACGAAGCGCCCCGCCCCCACCCCCCTCCCTCCTCCTCCCCACTTTGGGGGATCCCTTTCGGAGCACGCCAGCCGCCTGTGGGCTCTCGCCTGACCAGATGGGATGGCTGGGGCGGGCGCGCTGTATGACGCGGCTGGGGCGCGCCGGCGCGCTGCTGCAGGCCGACCTCGCCGGGCTGCCGCGGGACAAAGGTGAGACGCCCTGGGCCGTGTCATGAACTCGCGCCGCGGCCGCAGGTCGATCCTGTCGAAGATCCCGTCGCTTGCCATCTCTCTGTGGTGCCACGAGGCGATCCTGCGTCCGCTGTTTGGAGGCTGTGCTCAGAGTGCGGCCGCAACGGGACGTCGGCCCCGCTTGTTGTTGGACTTCACGAAATTTGTTCCTGCGGCACGTTGATCTATGTATGACGCTAAGCCACGGTGATTGTGTGTGCCTCGTAGGCGTCCTGCTGGCGCGCGTCTTTGGTGGCGCGTCGTGGAAATTGGGCGACGATGCTGTGGGTAGGGAGTCCATAGAACGGGCGGGGCGGCGGACTGGAGTGACTTGGGCGGTGGAAGGCGCGCGGCAGGAGCGCCAGCAGGAACCCCCATGTGAGAGCACCACCGAAGCAGCTGAAGAAACAGATTGTCGGGAACAATGTCCTGTTGCGACGCTCATGGCAACACTTTTTGAATGGAAACAAACAAATCATGCGGCGAGCAACCCGTTGCTGGGCATGCTTTGTTGTGCTCCACTTCTGTAGAAGACCATTCAGAACACTCAGAGTGTAGCATGACTGACGTGCTACACACAGGAGTCAATAAATGTGTCTGGGTGCGTATAATCAAATTGAAATCAGATCAACCGGGTGAAGGGCGGATAAGCGGTTGTGTTGATAGACTGATAACACCACATATGACTCTACAGTGCGTTGTTCCATGTGGAGCATACAGACCACCAGTTCAGCTTGGTTTTTTCTTGTTCATAGCTGTTCGTTCTGTTATGGGGGGATTGGGGCAGCTGACTCAAATTTCTGGGATTTTCCCTCACATTTTCCCTCATTTTTTCTACACTCACATTCAACCAAGCATTTTTTTGCCTTCCTTTGCATGGGCAACATTTGTACAATTGTGTTGTCATTGTATGCTTGCATAATTGTATGACATGTTTTGTGTGTAACCAATATTCTTTGGTTATATTTCAACAGCTGTTCGCATAGATGACAACGATTTTATTCGGCAACACAGTTTTCATGAGGGGCCATTTGTTGCTTTTAAAGAGGGCCGTCTGAGGGGTCTCTACCGAAGGGATCCACGTCAAGAAGCTTTTGTTATGAGGCTACAGGTAGTGAATACATGTCATGCCTTACTTGATGCTGTTCCAAGTTTGAGCGTGGTTGCTGACGCACCATTTGCAGGAAACGAAGGAAACAATAAAGTAAAGGCTTTCTTCAGTGCAAACTGCACTGAGGCCAGGGCCAGGGCTGAACTGCATGTGCTTCATTCTGCGTGGGGCAGAGTAACGTCCTGCACCCCATCAGTAGCTCATCAATGCATCGAACAGAACAGTTTGTGGGGCCAGAGTTGTTCTGATGCGTTTTGCCCCTTTATCTGTTGGATGTAAAAACTGCCATGTCTGTTTGTCCCTTGATTTGTGTGATTGTTCAGTTGACGCATGGTTGCTGCTGTTACCGTGTCGTTCATGTTGTCTAGCTACTGTTTTTTTGGCTCTTGCAGCACAGGGAGGTGCTTGGCATGCTGGCCACCTGAACGATACTGAATGTTGTAAGGCAGTGCGCATGAGCTGCACATGAAACCTGCATCTGCATATGGTTAGTTGCTTGCTTTGTGTTGCTAATGATCAACCTATTAGTAAAAATACTCAATTTGCTAATGCATCAATGACAAATCCTTGTGTACTCATGATCAGGTCACGTGTCATGGGGACAATTCTACGCTGTTTCATGTATTCCATTTGACTGAAACGCTATTATGAAAGTATACTTTAAGGTTTGTACTTTGTGGTGTTTGTTTAAAGTCCCATAATCGTTATTCTGAAGAATGCAGACATAGCAGGTGTCGGATGCCCTTCATCGATCTAAAGGTGCAAGACAACATTTTGATCTGTGTTGACAAACGAAGGCAAACTTCTGTATGGTCGCCATTTCAAATTGGTGCTTTGACGAATATTAGTGATGGAGAGGCATGCAACAAAGAAGGCATGCTGCTCACGACACTGAGGGAGCACTGCTGATGCCCATTGTCGGAAAAGGTACTTGGAGATATGTACTGATGCCCATGATGGTGGTATTAGCAGTGGAGCAGAAATTCTGGCCCAGAACTTACCACCATCAGCTGCAAGGTGCAAGAGCAAAGTTTTGGCACGCCTGCCAACTGGCATGCAATTGAAATTCACAGTGTTGTGGCAGCTCTGCCATGCATGTATTTCGTTCAGACTCTTGGAAATCGCTTGACGATCAGGTCGTTCTGTCTGTAGGAACTGTATGGACAACTGGGGAAAGTGTTCAAAAAGAAGCACAAACGTAGTGGTCTCACTGTGGTGGACAATCTTGACAGCCAGCCTGAGCCACCAACATGGTATGGAAGTGTAAGCAACTGGGGTGGGGAGTTGAGGTTGGCTTCTCCACCATCACATCCGATTGCAACTATCAAAATTGGCAGATCGCTTGCATTGGCCTTTGAAGGCTAGGGCAGGACCGCTGCTCTTTAATATGGGCTGCTACAGTTGTATTGTGGAAGGTGGCTATGCACGTTTTGATGCATGACCGAGGCAGAGATAGTGCTGACCTGTTGTGGGAGCTGTTTGAAAGGCAACAGACATTAGGGACTGGGGTTACCATCAACATGTTCTGGCAACTCATTTTCGTTGAGCCACTGTGCAAGGGACTCAAGGCAGACCTGGCTTGGCAGTAACGATGAAGAAGTGTTCATTCTGGGTGCATTGCCCTTCACACGATGGCGTGGCACGCCTGTGCACTGTGCCATATATATAAATGTTGCCATACACCTTGCATTGTGTGAATGCTGTTGCTTGCATGTGTCAAAAACCAAGGCACTTAGAGCACCTTCCATTGTGTTTGAGTGCAACAGTGTCACACTATCCCACGGTACCCAGTAATTTGAACAACAGGCAGCTGCATGATGCCAGAGAAGTATCATGAGGTACCCGGATGGTTGCCATCATCAATGAAGCAGCCCCACCTGCAGATTACCAACAGAATGTCTTTTGCCTGCTTCTGCTGAATGCCATCAGATGGGAAGTTCACTGCCTTGGCATGTTGTCATTACCATCCTTGTTGCTGACTTCGATTCGCTGGTTCCACTTAGGTGGCAGGGGGTTGTGCGAATGATGCATGACTCCCCCAGCCAGTTCGCCTCTGTAGATGAGAATCCTGAAGACCATCTTGGTGGAGAGTCCTGGCCAAGGACGCCAAGGTCCGATTCCCCATTGGGCCTGTACACATATGGTGGAGTGGGGGTGGGAAAGACCATGCTCATGGACTTGTTTGTTGTGTCGGCACCACCAGAATTCAGGGTGAGTGCTTTCAGAACTTAACATCTGACTGTTTTACAAAGGCACTGAACCAGGGTGCATCAGGGTATGTGGGGGAATTGCAGTCGCAAGAGAAGGCACAGTGAAACAGAGAATTTGCGAATAGCAATGTGCTGCAATGTTCAAGGTCATGGCAACTGCACTGCTGAAAGATATAAAAAGAACTATGCATGCATTGTAGAACCTTGTGGATCTCAATATCAGCACCAACAGAGACAGTATAAGGCCCAGCAAGAAACTCCATATCACCAAAGGACTTTGCACAATATCCTAGTGCACAGTACCCTTGCAGCACTCCTGCGAAAATGTGGATGCGCATTGGAATTGTGTGACATAATCTGCAGCAGCAATCAATAGCAGTTTTAAGGTTACCGTGAAGCGCACTTCTGGACAGTACAGTATAGATGCTGTGTTGTCAAAGCATGGGAAACTAGTCCAGGCAGCATCAAAGATATGAGAGCGGCGGTAAGGCAGAAGAAGACAGCAAGCAAGCTGCACATCAAAAGTACTGTTGGAAAAGGTTTGATTTTCAGGAGTTTGAATTTCGAAGACTGCTGGCCATGTGCCATATCTGATGGCTGGGTTGACCCTACACGGTCATCATTTTACTGCTGGAACACTTTTAACCATTGTCAGCTCTCCACCCACCTCAGCTTGTTCTGAGCCCAACCTGTTGTTCCATTTGCTGCTGTTATATCCCCAACAACCCCAGACTTTGCCTTTTTCCTAGGCCAGTATGCCAGCTTTGCCTGTCCAGCAGCCATGTTTTTCTGCCCGATCGATAACCTTGGATTCCTCAACACCTTTTTTCAGGCCTACTTCATGGAAGTCCTTGTTATGTATCTGAGGCCATCCTCAGTGCCTAATGCTGCGTGATGGCTCGAGGGGAACCCAGCAAAGTGTGCCTGCCATTGCCTCTTCTGTGCAGGAGCAGGTCAATGCCTTTGGATGGCATGTGTAAGCAGAGTGCATTTCCTCCATGTCCTTGCAGGTGCTACGCACGCATTTTCATGACTTCATGCTGGACATCCACTCACGCCTGCGCACCCACACCAAGACCGCAGACCCCCTCACCTTTGTTGCGCAGGACATCTCTGAGACACACCGGGTCCTTGCCCTGGATGAGTTCTTTGTGACTGATGTTGCAGACGCCATGATCCTGCACAGGCTGTTCAACCAGCTGTGGGACCAGGGCATCGTGCTCGTGGCCACCTCGAACAGGAAGCCAGAGGACCTGTATGAGGGGGGCCTGCAAAGGGACCTGTTCCTCCCATTCATCGACAAGCTGAAGGTAACACTGCTGCAGTCTGTGGGCCTGCTTCTTGTTGCATTGGATGTTTCGCAAGACAAGTGTTCAGCAAACCCCTGTCGAGGCACAAGGGTGTTTGTATCGCTGTGGTGGGCTTCTTGAAGAAATCGGTGCTATGAAGCAGAAGATGGTGTTTTCGAATGGTGTCTGTGCATAGTCCAGTGAGTTGGTCACATATATCTACAAGCGAAGGCAAATCCAAAAGCTCCAAATGTGATGGATGTTTGTGTTGCACACTCCCTGTCTTCTCCAAGAGTACCTTGGATTTGCATTTTTTGGAGCAGGGCGCTCAGCAGAGGGGGTCCTTGCACAAGAATAGAGTTATGGGTGCAACACAATCAGCAGCATATCTTCATGTTTCACCCTTGGGCATCTTTATGCACAGTTTGTGCCAATATTCAATGCGCAGTGCAGATTGAAATCATCTCCCACACAAGCAAATGCGCATTTGTGGACAAATATTGGCTCTGGGTAGATCAGTCATAGTCTTGGAGAAGCTCAGCAGAAATTCATTGCCCAGTGCAGTTGTCCACTGTGCGGTTGTCTTCCCTCCTGCTCCTAAACTCGTCAACCAACTTCACTGGTGTGTAGTCAGGCCTTTGATTGGCCTGTTGCATCTGAGCGCATGTGCCAGGCCCCTCCCCATCACTGCCACAAGGGCAAGGACTTCATTTCCCTTTGAAGACAAGCCTTATCATGGGAATTTGGTGCCAAGCTCGTTTGCCTATTGGCCAGGTCCACTGTCAAATCCACAACCTGGACTCTCCAGTGGACTACCGCAAGCTGGCGCGCCATCAAAAGGGCCTGTACTTCGCAGGGCCTAATGCCAAGGCCGACCTGGAGCAGTCTTTTGCCTCGATGTGCGTTGGCTGCCCCGAGGTCCAGAATGCCAGTGTGACTGTGAAGATGGGCCGCCGATTGGCTGTGCCTCGGGCCAGGGGACCCCACTGCTACTTCACTTTCGACGAGCTGTGTGGGCAGGCAGTAGGGGCTGCGGACTACATTGCGCTGGCACGGAGGTTCCACACTGTCTGCTTAGAAGGCATCCCCAAGATCACAGGCGCCTCCCGATCGGATGCATACCGCCTGGTCATGCTGGTGGACGTCCTCTATGATAACAGGTGGGATGAAGCTGTGAGAAGATGGGGCTTTGTGGGAAGTTGAAATGCAGCAGAGGTGGCAAGCTGCCAGTGAATACCATTGAGTTGCCATTGAGCAGCTCGCGGAGATTTGCTTGGGGTGTGCTGTGGGAAAAAGAACCTTGCAAAGCATGGCTGCCAATCTTAGGGGTAATTGTCTAGGGGGCTGAAAGCCAAATAGCCTGAATGGTAAATGTGCGGCCCTTGCACAATGCAAGTACGAAATGGGCCAATGTTGTTTGCCTACTTCCAGATCAGGATGACCGCTCAGTGTCCGAAACACCTGAGCAGCACCAGTTTATGTCTGTCGTCATCATTCTTTGCTGCACCAGTTGTGTGCCAACAAACTGCCAAACGAAAACAGAGAAATCCCACATTCACAAGGATTCGAAGTTTGTGTGCCGGTTGAGTTGAACTCAACCAACACACAAACTTCGAATTAAACTAATAGTCAGAATCAATTTGATGTGGTCCTGGATGCACCTGATGCGTTGCATGCCTCTGTGGAACACAACAATATCACCACCGGGGGGGTGTCAGCAGCACGCAATATGTGTGCAAGGCAGAGGGGCAGCTGCAGCCCGGCCACTTTGAATGTTTCTGACCGCCATTCCCAGCTTTTCCCAATTTTTCCTCTCTGCACAGGATCCGCCTTGTTTGCACAGCAGAGACGCAGCCTGCCGAACTGTTCACCAACATTCTCACCCAGGCAGAGCACCAGAGCGTTGACCCAAGCCTGGGGGCTGACAGCGGGGAGGCCATCGTGGATGACAACCTTGGCTTTGCAAAGGACAGGACAGTCAGCAGGCTGATCGAGATGCGGGGCCTGGACTATCAAGTGGAGCACTCCAACAGGCATGCGCCCGAGCTTCTGCTGGCACTGGCAGAGGCGCAAGAGCGGCCCAAGGAATAGGACCTGTTTGTGCGTTGTGGAGAGGACGGCTGACTTGGAGGGAGTTGTGATGCATGCAGGGCAGCCAGCACTGGGTGCCTGCCGGTGCTTGGCGCAACAAGTTGGTTATCGCACTTATCGACAGGATGAAGACAACCCCAGAGGCAAGCTGGTGCAGATTGCAGAGTGGTGCTGTGGCATTTGTGCTGTCCAAAGTCTGCTGCGAACGCATGCGCTGGCAGTCAGGCAGGTTGTATCTGCCATCGTCATTTCCAAGGGTAGCATACATGGGATTTCTCCAACGATGACAGAAGTAGTCGCGGGTCAGGTCAGCAGAATGGGGCAATCTCCACTGTTTGTTGATGGGGGCCCAGGGACTCTTGAGGTGCGCAGATGGAGAGGCCAGCTGGAGAGCTGCCTGAAGAGAATAGGCTTGACCGGTGCTGTCCCCCACATCGGCAGTTGGCATGACAAAATTCATTTTGCACCATTCTTTTCATGTTAGGCCAATGATACAGGAGCTAAGGCCCCTTGGCTCGAGTTGTTTAATAAAAGTTTTCTGCTGCACTTGTCCCAGCACACATCATCAGGCGTGGTTCACAGTTGACGTTGAACATGTGGTGCCTGAAAGGAATAGGCAACAAGCATTGAGCATCAGCTGATGTGCACTGCACTGGACAGGAAACCCGGGTCCAATTGCAGTGCATCGAATGCATCGAACTGCTGTGTAATCTGGTTTTCCAGCATCTGCAGTAAACACCGCCATTTGGGAGCAGCCTATTAGGTTGCCTGCCAGTTCCAACAAGTGGGATGTAATGTTGCTACCTGCCACGCCCTGCAGAAAGCAAAGAGGCCATACTCTTACACAGAACATCCCACGCACCGCTAGAAGATAGACAGCAAAGTCCAAAAGGCATAATGTCCGCCAGGCCTTGATCTTCTCCATGAAGGTCTCTATTTGCAGGCACCGCTGCACTACCTTCACAGCTGCTGCTCAATCCAACATGGACAAATCAACCGAACAGCGCCGACAGGCCCTTCGCTCCAAGGTGAACGACGTCGTCGACCATTGCCAATCGCCTCTATCTGAGGAGCCGCTACAACACGCACACCTGGCTTCAACCGCATACACCCTCCTCTGCCTGCACAACTCCAACCGTGAATCAATCCCCCTCCCCTCCCATCTCCCCCCACCCCCCACCCCCTTTCACACCCCAAACGATTTTCCGCACCCGCAGGTGTCCGTTGCGTTAGGGTTCTGAAACTGGAACCCGCCCCCGATGAGCGCGTCGCTGTAGTCCAGGCTCATGCCGAACAAATACAGCAGCGACTTGGGGTCGCACACCATCCTCAGGTCGCCCCCCTGCACCTCGATCACCGCGTCGTCCTCCTCCACGTTGTCGTCCTTCTCGAAGTCCATGTGGTAGCTCATGCCGGAGCAGCCGCCCGAGCGCACGCCGATGCGCAGCAGCAGCGAGTCGTCCTGGCGGTCGCTCTTGAGCTTCTTCAGGTGGAGCAGCGCGCGGTTGGTGACGGCGATCGGCGGCGGCGGCGCGGAGGCGTTCCCTGGAGAGGCACCGCCCAGCCGTTCAGGGGCTGCCTAAAAAGCGCGGATCTCCGTCCGCTGTCTATCTAACAGCGTATTGGGATCTCCGTTCATCTCCGTACTATAAAACAGGCGGCCATTGTGCCCCGCAGTGGGCGCCCCCTTCTCGGCAAGATTTTTGAGTTGCTGTGCTGCTTTCGGCAAAAGATTGTGCCAAAGCACGCGACTTGAATTGCAGCGGCAGGCGCAAACAGAGGTGTCGATACTGCAGAACGGCAAAACGACTCCGGCGCTTGGAAGAGCGAATGGATTGCAACCTCCAGCGTGCACGCTCGACAGAGCACAAGCGGCACTGCAGCACCTGCAGCGTTGGGTGTCTCCAATCGCGGTGGATGGCAGCGACATGCGAAAGGAGGGGGCGGGGCGCGCGCACCTGTCGCGGAGCACGCCCTCCGTGTTTGGCGCCTTCGGTGGGCGACAGCGGCGCCGCTGGCCACGCGCTGGGTGACTGCGGCCAGGCGGCCGGAGGAGGTCGTCGCCGCGCCGGCCATCTCAAGAGAGAACCCGGACATGGCAGCGCTGGGCCGAAGGGGTCGAGGGGGGCCGCTTCTCGGGTTCAGGAACGCGCCCTGTGGTTTTGTCGAGTGGCCTGTGGCCAATCTGCTCTTTTTCATCTGGGCGTCCTGTTTTTTGTTGTGGGTCTTGTTTGGTTTGTGACCAAGCAATGCGTTACTTCCTCAGTTTCAGCTGGGCGGGCAGGAGACATTTTTTTGATATCCATTAGTGCACTGGCTTGACTTGAACCGAACTGAACGACCGTTTGTGGAAATGACGCTTTTTCCTGTCCATCGCACAATGTTCTAGTATTGTGCATACAATGCAACCCTCAGCCATGGTTTGCGGAACAGCACAAACAATACAGTGACGTTCCTTCTGAGAAATGCGGAACAGAAAAAAGAGAAAAGAACTCCAGACACAAGGCAACGCCCAAAATTTGCTTGATGCGCGCTTCAGCAGCGCCAAGGCATCCAGAGTTTGGCGCCCGTATCCCGTTCAGGCCATGCTCGCACATTGATGGACGCTCGTGGGCGGCGGCCTCAGTGGATGCCAATGGCATGGGAGAGGACCCTCCAGACCGTCGCCGCAAGGCATTGATGCAAATAGATGCCACAGCTGTGGTTCGGACAATCCGGGCGCTGTAGGCTCACCGACCCCGTGAGCACAAGGGACGAAGGCCTTGCCAGCAGCGCTGGAGGGCACTGCAGAAGGCATGATCGGGCCCCTCAAGAAGTGGAACCACGATTCGCAGAACAAAACAGCACCTCCAAAGATGGGCGCATAGACAGGGCTATCTCTTCTTAGCTTGCTGATCGAAAGGCAGCTCACGGCTGGCCGGAGTGCTCCGGGGCTTCCACCTGACGCCAATACGCGCCTAGGCATCACTGCCCCGAGCTACACAAGCTGCTCTGCAGCGATATGCACAAAGATCGTCTGCTTATCGCGCCGCGGCCTCCAAAACTGTGCCCACCAGCGGCCAAGCCCTATTGCTTTCAGTCAACACCGGCGCTTCAACACGGGCGGATGAGCAGATGAAAAGGGACGAGTTTGGACAGGTCCTGAAGGCCACCTAACCCGTTTGCCTTCTCCTGCGGCCACTTCGAGATTCACACGGAACGAGAGCAAAAATGGCGAGGTTGTTTCAACAGAATATTCTCAGAACATTTATGTAGAACAGCATACTTCTCAAAAATTGCCCCAAACTACTCAAAATACGGAAATAGTAACTGTAGCACGGAATGTTACGATTTCCTGTGATTAATGAGTACCAAGATCCCCCTTGAAATCGCTGGGATAATATAGTCCCATTGAGCACATAAACTGACGATGAACGTTGGAAATTTATGGAATATTTGTTGGACCCTGTTGGAAACTGAAATTGCCGCACTTCGGAGCTACATCCCACCCTTGGAACCCTCAGGGTGGGTCACAATAAAATGGATGGCGATGGCCGCTGCAGTTTAAGGGCCAAAGAGCTGATCGCGCATTAGCGTTCTTGCAATTGTTTGTTGCCATGTAAATTGCATTCCTTTAATTTCCATTTTGTTATTTTGTTCTATTGCTTGTATCCAATGCACACTTCGGTTAAATAAAGGATGGGTCCCATGTCTTCCATTCTGGGCCACATGCACTTCGTAACTCCTTCCTGCAGATGTCCGTATTTTGCTTTTGTTGTGAATGTAAATTTGTGCAAAAAAAAACTTCCGAATCATGGTTCATATCATAATGCAGATGCTTAATATTGTTCATTGTCCGTTGCTGGCCTACCTTTTGTCATTGCATCTTGGCTTGCAGAAACGAAAATGGTGTTTATTGAAAATCGAACTAGATTAGCTGCCAACAATGGCGACTTGACTACTTTGCATGTAGATGCTGCACGGATAGTGTATGATGCAGCCAATACACACGGGTCGCGGGTGACACATTAGAAATTTAAAGGGTTGCTCGTACGATGCACACGTGCCGCCATTATCATCGCTTTCAGCTCCACAGGAGCAATACATTTATCTGCTTGCAGATCGTTGAACTCGACAAATGGGTTGTCGACCATTCTTGATTTATGTGTGACAAGGTCTACAAGGCAACATCTATTGGCATTATCATGGAATAGTGCATTACCTTCACAAGCCAACAACGCTGCAGAAATACATGTTGTCAATTTTTCTCATCATTACGGAGTCCGTGAAGCTTATCATCTGTGTGCGTACATGTACGCGCACAGACGATAAGCTTTGTGAACAAATATGCATACCCTCATGCGCCCAAATGAAGTAGTAGGCGATCTCGACCAGTGTACCATACGATTCACTCGATCTCCACCAGGGGCTCCGCGAAGGCCTCGAAGAGGTGCAGCTGGGGACTGCTCGTCTTCTGACCGAAGGTTCCAATTGGCCTCCGGCCTGGGGCTCACTGATATCACTTCGAGGAGGGCTGGACGCCCATCATGATGGGCGTCCCGTCCTCCTCGAAGTCCTGAATACAGCCAGAGTGGGCGTCGTCGTGCATGTTCTCCTGGACGACCAGAAACTGCTCTTTTGCCCTATCCAATGGGCCAGCATCCTTGGCGCCCGACGCCTGTAGTACTCCAAGAAGCTGAATATGATGAACGCCTGAGCGTGCATGAACTTGCGCGTGTCCGTGCTGTTTCCGTCCTCCGAGAGGTCCACCGCCCAGTAGTACCCTCCAAACTCGGGATCCAGAAAGTTCTCCACAATGGAGTCGTATCCGTGCTTGGCCGCCTGCAGGTAGTCCCGCTCCGGAGTTGAGTAGCCGGTGGCGTGGGCGAGGGAGAATCCGTACATCATCCGCATGTGGTACACGATCGTCTTCACAAGGGGGTCGGGCACCACATCCTTCCCATCCGGCTTGGGTGATGATGGCAGGACGATGTACCCCCCGTTCTCTGTGTCGAGGGCGTTGTCGAGCCATAAGGCAAACGTCTTCTCTCGAAGGCTGGAATCAAAGAAGTCCACGTATCCATCGTTATCCCTTTCTGCGTCTGGGAAACGACACAACGCAGTAAGCATGGATTGCGCATCATGCATCCAATCACCCCTCCAATACTTTCCTTTTTTTTTGAGCCTGGCGCGCTCGACGGCGCCGATCCACCGACGCAAGTCACGGCTGGGGGGGAATTTGCCCCCCATCTCCATGCCTCATCCCCCATCAATAGCCGGTCGCGGGGATGGCCACCACACGAGCTGTGGCACAAGTGCTTCAAACGAGGTATACAAGGATAATCAGCTCGCACAGAGTGGTCACGGTTGGAGGATCCCATGCACTTCGTGGTTAGGCTCCACGGCTTACTTACGGGAATCGCAGCGAGCCACCGGCGTCGGTGGAGACGGCCCCGGTGCTCGTCGACGAGCAGCCGCCACCACGATGATCGCAGCCCGCGAGCAAATCTCCCAGTGACACCGCACGCCGTCTCGTCGCAGCTACATTGTCATGCATTCTGGCACAGGCAAACCCGATCAAGCCGATGGCCAGAGGGCCATGTGCTCAGCCGGCCCCGCAGCACCCGGCGGCCAACCACCGTGCAGCCGCCCGCGGCGGAACTCAATCCCGCCGGCCCCATCCATTGCGATCCAAAACCGCGAGGCAGCGCACGAACAGTCGCACCACCCAACATCCATTTTGGCGGAACTCCCCAGTGGTGCGATGCACGCAGACTCAAAGACGGAAAACCTTGTGCGTTCCCACCCTTCAAGGGTCCAAGTTGGACCGAGGCCCGCGCGCGTGTGGATGCTCGCACACTGCGTTAGGAGGAGGGCGCCAGCTCCCCGCCCTGCGCCGGGCCTTAGGCAAAGACGCAGGGTGCGGGGAAGAATGCCGCACTCGCGAGTTGAGGCTCCGGCCGGTGCCAAACAGGCCGCGCGCTGTGTGCGTCCGCGACTGCGGCAATGCGCGGGGAGAAGCCGCTTGGCGCTGCCAAGCGCACGACGACGGGACTGGGGAAGGCGCAACGTTAATGAGTCGACCATGGCATAGGGAAGGAGAGATGCCTTGCTGGTGCCGCTTCTTCGCTGCCACCGGAGCGAAGGCTTGGTTTCTACGCCGTAAAAACTGATCGTATTTACGTTTTTAGGCGTAAAAATAGTTTTACGTTTTATGCATAAAAATGCGCAAAACACGTAAATACAACGTAAAAACTGTCCGGTGTACATAAGGACAGTACATACAGATTTACGGAGTCCATAGAGTGGCAGCTAGGCGCCCTGGAAGGGGCAGAAAACGATTTTTTGTTAAGCGCCATCATCGCCCTTGCCAAGGGCGAGGTGGACATTGTGTTGCGGGTGCTGGACTTGGCGGATCATTGTGCACAATTTTCAACGTATAACCTGGGTGTCCCAGGGAGCCGTAAAAACGTAAAAATAGCCGTAAAAACGTTGAAGTGAAAACGTAAACGTAAACGCAAAACCAAGCCTGCCGGATCGCAAACTACTGGAGGGCCATCGGTGGGATTGCCCCTCAGAATTTAGCGCCTAATGGCGACGAGTTTTGAAGGCTCGGGGGGGCTCCTCGTCGCTAGGAAACATTCTCAGTTTCTTTATTGAATTTCTTGAGAGATCTTGGAAGTTCTGGTTATAGCCTGACGGCGTACGCCGGTCTCTCTGTGGTGTGCAGCCCGAAAAGAAAATGACTCAGCGGTTGCCACAATTCACAAAGGTGCATCTCGGTCAACATGCAACACCATTGGCAGTAACATCGATACCGCTGCTGATGGTTGGCATTGATACGAAGGCGACATATGCGTTTCTTGGTGCTGCTGCGGAGCCGGCACTCATTGATGGACATGTCATAACGCAGTGTGAGTCCGCAGTATATTTCAGATTAACTGCACATCGTAAACACACGTGCGGTTGTTTGTGCAGACACCGCACCACATTTAGACTTTTGGCATAGCCACAACACGTACTGGCCATGCTTAGAGAGACAAAGAGACAAAAACATGGAAAGGACGCACAATTCCAGACGATAGCATTTGCGTTCGTGCCCGCTGCCAACATCGACCGTGGTTGTGCACCAATGCACAAGCATGGTGTACCACGTGGTAGCGTGCACGCGATTGGGACCTGCGGCTTCCTTGGGCAGCTTGGATACCAAGGCAAGGCCATTTTAGATGACGAGTGGAGTGCAGACATCTCCTTAAATATTGTACAAGGGGGTACATTTCTTGCAGGAAGGCAAGCAACCAGCGCTGCAGCGACAATGACGGCTTGAAAAATGCAGTGGTTGAAGCCATGGCAGGCTACGGGGACAGCCATGGACTCTGCAGATGCAGATATTTTGCGACATACTGAGGTTGAACGCTCCGGGAATTTTTCTGAACCAGTCCGGGGCCGCTTGGTGCTGTTCCAGGTTTGTGGCAGTAGCTGGTCTGGAACCTTGCGGGTCAAATCTGGTGTTCCAACTTGGTAAAGTCGACACAGTGTTACCAGCAATTGGACGCAAAATGACCCGCGAATCGAGTCGCACTTTGCGCCATACGGCGTATTTTCCTAGGGCAGCCCGTGTGATAACGCGTTTTGCTGGCTTCACATTTGGTTGCTGCTCATTTCCTCCGCGTTTTCAAGCCCGGATCTCGGTACTATGCGGATTAGGTCAGAGTGTCGCGGTAGAGCAGCATCTTAATCCAACGATGGGCCGCGCGTTGCACACTTTTGGGCTGCCGACTGCAACTGGTAGCGCTTTACTGATGACTGGCATTGACATTCTATTTCGCCGTCAAACTTTCAAGAATTACAGCACATCTGATGGGGACTTTCCCAAACCCCGATGCACGGAAAATGCCATACAGAACACTATGCAAACCTTCTCCCCCTTCCCCCGTTTCCTTCTTTGCGCCCACGGTACTTGGAAATTCAAAGATAGGCAGATCGATACGAGTCAATGAACTATGACGGGCACAAGATGAGAGCGCGTTGAAGACGGCATCCTCCTCTCTGGGATGCCACCACTTTGAAGACAGGGGAGAAACCACACGTGGGCATTAGGGGCTCCATGGAATTTTGGGGCGCGTGAGGCAGACCCAAGTCTAATAGATGGGGGTTTGATAAGGCTGTGCAAGCGCAGTCCACAACACAACACTCGCATTGCAGTAGTGCCATTTCAACGGGCAAAGTGCTGGGTTGTCTGGATGCACACGCCTGTGAGAGTGGGTTGTCCAATGCATGAGCGTAAGCTGCCCTCTCGAAGTTGTGATGCCGTCCTTGGGCGGGGCAGCGCTGGCATATCGCAGCCCCAAAGGGTGGACTTACTGAAGATAGCTGCGGGCGTTACAAGAACCAATGCACCACACCGTTGGTGAATAGCCCAGGGTTAACGAGCGTTGCTGCGAAATGTCGCAGTATTCTGTCTGCAAACGAGCACCAGACATGCCTTAAATTGAGCAGAACGGACCTCTCATTTTTTGCATGCCCATGCGCATGCCTGTGCTGGAAGGAATGTCTACAGAAAGCGGATTGGCCAACCGCCAATAGGATTTTGCGATGAAAACACGTGCGTGTAGACACCTTGATAATGCAATTTCCTTTGAAAGGAAAGTTTGCCCAGGATGACGCCTGGTTAGTCTTGATAACATTTGTCCATTGTATTTGGGACGGTGGACTGTGAGAATTTGACAGCCATACCTGTGGCACCACGTTGCGCTCCTCAGATAGAATGAACACCAACCACTCAGACACTCCATTTTGAATGTTGTGAGCCTCTCTTCAAATAGAGCTGCCAGAAGCAACCCGAAGTCAACCCCAAAAATCCTCTCTTGTGTCCATGACGATGGGGGGACGATGGTGCCAGCAAGCAGCATCCCCATCATTCTGTATGCCACCAACTATGTGTAAACAATCTCTCTCCCGTCTTCAAACAAAGTGGCTGCAACTGCTTCACACGTCAATCTCAAAATGCCCCCAGCTTCACCCTCTCAACGTCTCCGCGGCTGAAAATGCCAAAGTTATGCGCAACACGAACCGTCTCTGAAGTTCAAAGCCTCCTCTGCCTGTGGCCTTGCCGCTCGAGTGCGGCGCCTCACAATACAGGTCATGACACAGGGCGTGCAAGGCACACACAGTGCAAGTCATCCAGCCCCAGTTTGGGTGGACCGTGCACTTGAGGTGCCACTGGGGGCAACATCAGCAACTGAGAGGCAGCTGCTTGAGCTTGCAAAACTGATAGCGCGGCCCTTCTGGTGGTCCAAGACACGAGCACGCGCCTGTGCAGTGGGGTCAAGATGTGCACCACAGCATTGCTCCGTTGGCAGCCATCACATCTGTGGTGGCATTGGAAAGCCCAAGTCTTCATACAACCGCTTCATTCGATCCTTCATGCCCTGCCATATGACACCTAATTCTCGGGATGCACAGGTGTGAGATACAGTATTCGAGGACGAAGGGAGTGCAATTTATGGCCGACATAATTGCTGCACATATCTTGCAAATGCACACAATGGCCTTCAACAGATATAACACACAAAGGACCAATTGGACACAAGAATGTGCATTTGCAAGGGCGAAGCTCGTGCAGCAGCAGAATTTGACTAACCGAACTTGCAACTGAATACGGTAGTCCCAATACGGTAGTCTGAGCTCAACATTGAATGCAATGCCGCAAGCAACACAATGAAACTGTGACATGCCTATCCCCAAGGTAAGTCTGCCACATATGGGCAACCAGACTGTTCCTGCCTGCAGGCACACTCACAAGCACGCTCTTTGAATGTGCATCTTGCATCGCCTCCACAAGCCGAGTTTGAAGAACCTGTGGCAACAATTAAATTTTGAGAATTCGTGGGTGCCATTGGTTTTTCGGTGAAGGGCAAAGCAACGTTGGTAGCATCACGTTCCTATTCTGTGCACAGACCTCAACACCCAACAAAATCAACGCCAATAAAAAAGCAGTGTCTTGCCACAAATAAGCAATGCTCACTGTTGGCAGACAAGACTTCGATGATCGCTATTGCCAATCATGGAACATTGAATTGTTTGTTTTATCAGCACCAGCATGCGAATTTTCCGTACTAATCTGAAACAATAGAACCAGGTGGTGCAAAGAAGTCCAAACACTTAGCAACCCAGGGACCACACAGAATTACACCATTTCTATTGCCCATGGCTCTGTGAATTCCAGAATGCACGCCCCAAACCAGTCCAACAATCTACAGGCCTACCTCTGTTCCTTGGTCAAGTGCATCTTGGGTCAGTTCAACAGCCCGAGGCTCTTGGTTTCCAGAAACGACAACCTGCGGGACCAGTCTCCAATAATTCAGGCTTGGGTTGCACTAAGCAGCCTCTGCAACCAAAGAATACGAATGCAAAGAGCAGGGCAGCACAGGTATATAGCCTCGATCAGCTGCTTTGAACACATCTGCCAAAATTGCCAAAGCACAGCATGCGCATCATCAAGACAATGACAGGTATAACCCCATCCGTGCTGTTTGCTCCAGAATATTCTCCTTCAGCACCATAGCATTCAGTGTGCCAAGCCTCCAGGGTTTGGTTTTTGAGGTTAGGGGTTGGGTTGGTGGAGAAAGGGCAGGTGACGATGCCTGCAAGCCTTGAGACACCCTATACCGCCTTCAGGTGATGCAGGAGGGAGCCACAAAGCCTATGCCAATGGTGCGTCATATGAGGTTCAGCACAGTCCCTGCCTGTCTTTTACATCGCCTAATGAAATGGCAAGCTCCTTGCTTTGGTTTGGCAAACGCAACAGGCAAGAATTTATGACCCTGGCTGACTAGGCATCATGGCATCGCACTCGTTCGAGGGTGGTAATGCCTGATACAGTTGAAGTTGCACCAAGCATCACCGAGCATCTCCAATTCCAGCAAACCATTTTGTGGGCTACCTGTGCCTGTGACATGGTGCTTCCATGAACTCCGGAACATGCACAATCTCAGGCATCAAGATTGCTCTCGTTCTTTCGTTCCAAGGAAAACAGCCACAGAAGTGTAATCCCAGGCATCGTGATCAACTGTGGCACAAAATACAGATGCTACGCAGACCCAATGCCATTCGCAACGATGGCGTGGTACGCTAGTAGCAAAATCAAGAGGCAAATCAAATCCCCAGTTGCATATGCTGGTTCCAATCTGGCCTGCAAGGCCCCTGTACAATAGTCATTCGTTGAGAGTGTCTACCTTAACAGTCTCCTCTTCATCGTAGCCCTCAAACACAACGCTGTGTGGACAGCCAGAACATCATCAGCAAACAATCATCTCCCCTAGAGTTCCCTCCAGAATCAAATGGAATTAGGTGCTGGTGAGCTGCACAGCATCGCCAAATCAGAGCCAGGATGAGCACCCACATTGGTGTCATTGTCACCAGACAACTAGGGATACCAGACTGCTTTGTGGGTCACTGCAGCCATACATTCAGCTCCAGACAGCAAACAGGATCCCAAGCAATGGCCACATCACACAGTTCAAGCACACGAGCAGAATGCGCAAGGTGCGATGCAGTGGCCACCTGCCTCTGTGGTTGGGATGGCTTCACACAGGAATGACTTCTAAGTTCAACAATGGCACAATCGGTTGCACAAACATCTTTGCCTCCTTGCCTTTATGCTGCAGGGTTGTGGACTTTCAGCAACATTTGCTTGGCAATGCAGAAGACTGCTAGATTCTGGCCATGCTTAAGGATAGGATGCGCTTGTGCACAATTTTGTTCTTCTGTTTGATTTATCATTTAAGCACTGATGCTGACCTGACTGGGCGGGAAGGTCATGGCAATCAGCTCAACGCAGATACGCTGATGATGTAAACAGGTCACATCTGGCTGGATTTTATGTTGATTGATGCAACAAACAGTGATTGTTTGGTTCAGAACGGTGCGCATCCAGTGCTTCAGACCTGGACAGCTCCTCCTGTGCTCTTTGTGCCTCCACCGCTGCCCGCGCCTGAGCCTCCTTGGCAGTCTTCAGCAGTTCAGAGAAGTTGGAGAAGGGATTCTGGCACACGACAGTTGCAGAGGCTGTGCATGAATAGCGGTCCGCTGACCCATTCCATCGAATACGACCGTTGCGAAGGAAGTGCGCGGTCCAGTTGGCGACATTGATCAAGATCCGACCAAGCAGCAGGCTCCTCACCGACTTTGCGTCAAACGTGGCCCCCGGTTGTGAACGCGCACGACTGTTGCGTCCCACAAGCAAACATACCGAGGAATCAACTGCCCGTCGGTGTGAGACAGCCACCACCAAAACGTCGACATCCGCTTCAGGCACCAGCATTTCTTCGCACATTTTCGCATCGCGGGGTTCCTCGCGCGCGCCTCTCGCGTCCAGACGAACCGTCGCCGGGCAATCCTGCTCCAAAGCAGGCGTCGCCACACCGCCCTCTCCCACCCTTACCAACCTCCCCAGCGCCAGGGCCCCCATCCCCCTTCGCCCCCCACCTTGCTCTTCCCCTCCTCGTCGTTGCCGCCGAAAATCGCCCTCACGCGCGTCGAATGCCGCCCGCCCCCCTGCGCCCCTGCTCGCCTGCGCAGCCCAGGGCCATCTTCCTCACCCCACCACAGACCCTTCTAACACAACCCCTTCTCCCCATCCACCCACCCCATTCCACAAGGCCACCACATCTGCAATTCCCCGTGCAAAGATACAACCCTGCATCGAATTCATCTCCTCTTCCGCCCCGCCAGGAGCTGATCAGCTCAAGGGGCGACGCAAAATGATTCGTCCATGGCGCGTCGGGGCGGCGCAAGCGGAAAGCACACCTTCGGATGCTCGAGGCAGGTTCGGAGAGCCACGCCGGCGATCCCGAGCCGAAGGACAGGAGCGTCGCGGGCATGGCGGCGAGGGCTGATGGGCCGGACTGGGCTGCGCCCGAGAATCTGGCCCTGGCCCCCCAACAGGCTGTTCCCGATCGGGGGCCTGCATCGGCGGATGAGGGGATGATGGGCCAGATTATAGGGGCCGTCAAATTTGGGCTTGCGGTGTACTTTGCAAAAACTTGCATGGAATGCGGACCGTCGACCGCCAGACACCGCAGCGACCTTGATTTGGGACAGTTGAGCCCGGCTGTGGGCCAAAGTGTCCCTCTGGAGGGAAATTGGGGCGTTGTGGATGGCAAAGGAAACGTTTCCGAAGCAATACAAGGGGGTTGTTTGTGATGTTGTCGTGACTAGAACTGATCGAGTATTGCTAACAGCTGGAGGCATAAAGAGGTGATAGGGCATTAGGAATTGCATTAAGGGCATTGATAGACGGACTGGATACAACGGACAGAACTCCTGTTGTCCTTTTGCTCCGTTGTAAGCTTTTTGCCACGGACGCGAGCCTACGGTCCCCAGCCATTGGTCTCCACCCCTCGGCGCTGCCTGCCTTCGTCAGCGTCTTGGTGAACGTCGATATCGGCGCTCGCAGCAGGCCCAATTCGCTGTGTTTGTCACAAGATGGCGGGCACTGGCCGTTGGTTACCATTTTTTTTGCGACAGTGGACTATTCTTTTTTGTGACAGTGCCAAACTACTCCTTTTTGCGACAGTGGCGATAATTGATGCGCGAGATGCTGGCATCAGATTTGCCACACCACCCCAGCGCGGTCCACGGGGCCTCCTCTCACAACGGCGCTGAAGGCGCGTCTGTTCGGAGAAGGGACCACAAGGCGAAACGGGAGCGTTTGGGGATGCCCAGGGTCCCCACCTTGCGGAGAGGGGCTGTCGCTGCCTTTCGGCGATCACTTTGGCGCAGCCGAATTGGCCGAATTGGCTGAGGTTGGAGCCCCCCCTTCCTCCCCAGTTGTGTTTTTGCCGCGCTAGCCCCTTGAAATGTGCGCAATTGGCCACACGGGGCGACGGCGCCGCCAACTGGGTCTGGAGAGCGTTGCTCGTGCTGCCGAACGGGGAGGCCATGGCGCTGGTTGCCAGCGCCATTGCCGTCCAAGCATCGACCAAAAAGGCGCCCAGCGCCGTTGACTCGTCACTAGAGGTGGCCACCCGGATCCGTTAATAGCGGACAGAGGTTAATTTCCGTTAATTTTCCGTTAATTAACGGAAAATAACGAAAAAAGACAAAAAATAACCAAAAATTAACGGATTTTTAGATTTTTTGTGATTTTTGGGTTTTATTCATACTTTATAGTTTATGCTATTAGAGAGTGTTTGTAGGTTTTATTTCAACCTATGCATATTAGATTTCAACTAGCCGCGCTGCATTTTTTGTTTTTTCGATTTTGATTTGTTTTTCAATTTTTCCTTTTTTCTTTACCGGAATTTAACGGACAGCTGATAAAATTAACGAACCGGATCCAACTGACTGGATGGCATTCTGAGTGCGCTACTCTACTCGTCACATCACCCGTGTAAAGAACGCCTGAGCCACGACTGCCACCATCGGCATTTCACCACGAACTCCAGTGTCCATTTATGCCGTCCACCGCGCGACCCACCGCACTTACAAGTTATCAACTAACCCCGTGAAGGTTCGAAAAGCAAGAGTGAACACTGATCCCCGGCAATGAATGCCGGCGACGGCTAAGAAGCGCCGCCAGTAAGCGGCGGGTGGGGGCGGGGCGCAGGCCTTCGAAGCCCGCCTCTGCCGTATTAGTCACATTCGCTGTCGCAAAAACGAGCAATCCACTGTCGCAAAAAAGAGTAGTTTGGCATTGTCACAAAAAAGAACAGTCCACTGTCACAAAAAGAAATATTCACCCTGGCGGTTCAGCTCATAGCCCACGTCGGGGCCTGCAGGACGGGCGGTGTTTAGGCTTAGGGAGCTGTTCTATGTTAGGGATGCTCCGGATGATCGGGATGCTCAGAATGCCCGGGATGCTCGGAATGCCCGGGATGCTCGGAATGCCCGGGATTCCAGGGATGCTCGGGATGCTCGGGATGCTCGGGATGCTCGGGATGCTCGGGATGCTCGGGATGCTCGGGATGCTCGGGATGCTCGGGATGCTAGGGATTGTTCGGTTCTGTTGGCATTGTTTGGCCAAGAAAAGCTTTGTTTGGAGAGCTCGTCCAACCCTTCTTGTGTATTGCTTTTGTCGGACAAAATTTATCCTGCAGCAGTGACACTAATCTAGCGTGGTGGCGGCGAACTGCTTCATTTTCAAGTGCATACGATTGACAGAAGATTCAGGTGAGGAGGATGTTCGGATCAGCACTTTGTCTGAAAATGTGGTGTGCCAGCAATGTGGTTCTCCGTGATGAAAATAGACATACAAAAAATGAAGAAGTAGATAATGCGCATTACCAATAGACGGCACAGAATTGGGCAATCGCTGAGTCCGCATCATTCACAGGCGCAAGATTATAGATCCCTCTTTCGTAACCACCACAGATTATTCACTATTTGGGTAAGCGCCAATTCATTGACGTCTCCCAGATTCACTATATTCCAAGCTCCGTTCACATGAAACTAAAGCTGCTTCGGCACACGCGCTCAGAGGGACGCGCTACCCGTGTGGGACGGAGAGCCTGGGTATCTGGAGCTCTCTCTACCTTGCAACATTGATCCTGAGAGGGCGTGCAGAGATGGGACCACGGGATTTTACATGCATCGATCATGGATCAATGGATGGCGATCACGTCAAAGATGAATGTTGGTGCTGATCGATCACATCTGATATCATGTTACCAGATCAGATATCTGATCAGATAGATCGCAAACGCAGAGGCCACTTGGCTAATGTTTCTGATAATGCAGGAGTGTTCACAAGGGCTCTCAAACGACGATTCAATTTGTTCAGATTGTCGAAGAAGGATCTAGCTAGGGAGATGCGTACATAAAGCGCATGGGCCGAAGCGAGATTTGGACATGCCTGTCCTGAGTGCTGGGCCCATGCGCACTCAGTACGCTTTGAATCTGCCAGAATCAACGCAGTTGGATGGTCGAGCACATCGAAGGCCTTCCAATTAGCTGGATTGGATGACCTGCGGGATGAGCAGGGAAAAATAGGGCGCTGAGAGTCAATGCATTGAGACCCAAGGACGCGGCGCCGCGCACAGCCAGAGGGATCTCTCTGGCTGTATTGCGCAATTGGTGCAAACAGCTTTTGGTAATCTTCGGATGGTTAGGAGAAAGTTTGTTCCAGCAATAACTTGATTCGACTGTCACCGTCGCTACAGCAACGAGAAGGCGGATTCATTTTTCACGTAACAAAAGATCCGATCGCACACGAAATGCCCACAGACCACACAAGGCAATGCACCGCTTTGTGTGGTCGGTGGACACTTCGTGTGCGACCAGATCTTGGCGTCCCGATTCGGGGTTCCCAACCTATCCTATGGCTCGCATCTGGGGCCGTGAATATGCTGAAGTTGTGGGACAAAATTCAGCACTGTGGAAAAGCTCCATTGGTCCCAATGGTAGGGGCTGGACATGCCCGCCTGTTGTTCACTTGACCCCATTTGCATGCCGATCTGCGTCACGGCGTGCTGTATCGCGAATTAAAGCCACATGGCGGGCTGGGCATCTTTCTCAATGGTCTCCAGTCTGGCAGACGATCCATGGGAAGGAGAACGTAAAAGTTCTCATTTGCCATACTCGTTACTGCTGTAGCAGTAACGAGAAGCTGTTGGTCGTTTTCTATTCGGTAAATTGCCTCATGCTGCAAGTTGTAGTAAGCAAAGTTTAGGTGGAATACCTGTGTGGGTTGCGATGTGTCTCAATGACCTCTTGATTGAAAACGGTTGGAACATTAGGAAGGAGGAACATTCATTCATGATCAGGATCAACAATTCGCAGGAGCTGGTGATACCCGTTGCACATGTGCAGCACTGTACTGTGTGCTTGGGCGCAGTTAGTAGCACACGCAATGCAAAATCTTTCTGCGCAGCGGCGCAGGCTATGCACCAATTTTTAAGTGCTTGATATGTCGACACGCCTCAGCAAGAACGCATCTGTTCACATTAGGCACATTATGTCTGTCAACGGGTAGAAAACTTCACCATGTGCACATCATCACCATGTAACAGTGGAATTGCAATCGATTGCTTCACTGCAGCACTGCACGGCATGCATTGTCACCATCTCGAGCGAAGCTGTGTTCGATATCCCATAGTGAGGGAACAGAACAGTATGGTGAGACCCACGAAAGAGGATCCTGATGAATTGGTTTTTGGAGTTGGTGTTTAGCATGATCAACTTAACTTCTATTTGCAACGAAATTCATCTCAATGCCCTGTCCAGGATCCGACGCTGTTATTCAGTTACTTGAGCTCAGCCGAACACGGAACTCCGGAGTTCCATCGGATCCGATGCAAATCATGCCACACTCTGAGGAAATTAGCATATGTTTGTATTCTAATGAAGAGAGAATTGGAAGGCCGAGTCCCAGGCGCTTGTTCCAAACTCAACAATTATTACTGTTGCCAAGTACAAATTAAAAGCTGTTAGCATCAAGACAACAAGTCCATCTTGTAGCTACACCTAGAAAAGGCAACGTCGGTTCTTCCAATAGCAACACGCGCTGAAACGTCATCAACAGCAAACCAGTCAAGTACGCTGTGTTCCGAAGCTCCAAAGCGCTCCCACCCTCCCCCGGCTCCTCCCTTGGAACTCCAAGCTTCAAAGCATTCCCCGCCAATGCGCCACTGATCATAGAAACATTCGCACGCTACTTTGAGTAGGCGGCGATGAACTTAAGGAGCGCGCGGACGTCATGGTATGCAGCCTTCCACATGTTCACCTTGTCCAGCTGCTTCACAGACCCGTCCCCATTCAAAGACCACGCCCAAATGCCGTCCTCAGCGTCCATCGCGTAGCACTCTATGAACCTCAGGTGGCTCAGCAGCACGTCCTCGTACAAATCATCCCCCGCGGTCTCAAAATATTCCGCCAGGGAGGACAGGAACTCCGCGTTGGCCCACCACGTCTTGTCCCCGCGGTCAAAGAGGCCGCCGACCTCCGACTCCTGGTCGTAGCCGCTCTCAATCGCGTAAGACAGGTAAGCGTCGTACATGTCCAGGTCGGGTTCCTCCCCAAGGGCCTTCTGAGCCCGAATGAAAAGATAGGCAATCTCTGCCAGAGTGCCGTAGGATTCGTTCGGGCTCTCGTCGACCAGCGTCCAGTTCCACGTCCACGACGAAGTCGACTCGCCGGGGTTCTCGGGGTGGAAGTACTGAAGGTTTGTGTCGATCACTTCCTGCAAAGCGCCCCTGACGTCGTCGTCTCCGGTCTCCACCAGGAGCTCCGTGAAGGCCTCGAAGAGGTGCAGCTGGGGGCTGCTCGTCTTCAGGCCGAAGGTCCCCAACGGGCCCATGGCTTGGGGCTCACCGATGGGCGTCCAGTCCTCCTCGAAGTCCCAAACCGGCATCGCCGGACTGACCGAAACCGCTTCCCTGCCCCGTCCACAGGGGTCGTTCGCTCCGGACGCCCTGTAGTACTCCAAGAAGCTGAATATGATGAACGCCTGAGCGTGCATGAACTTGCGCGTGTCCGTGCTGTTTCCGTCCTCCGAGAGGTCCACCGCCCAGTAGTACCCTCCAAACTCGGGATCCAGAAAGTTCTCCACGATGAAGTCGTATCCGTGCTTGGCCGCCTGCAGGTAGTCCCGCTCCGGAGTTGAGTAGCCGCTGGCGTGGGCGAGGGAGAATCCGTACATCATGCGCATGTGGTACACGATCGTCTTCACAAGGGGGTCGGGCACCACCTTCTCTCCCTCTAGATCTGGGAAGGACGGCAGGATGATGTACCCCCCGTTCTCCGTGTCGACGGCGTTGTCGAGCCAGAAGGGAAACGTCTTCTCTCGAAGGCTGGAATCAAAGAGGTCCACGTATCCCTCGATGTCCCTTTCGGCGTCTGCCAATCCATAAAATGCCTTCTCTCAGGTTGCAGTAAATGGCTGATGTGGGAGAGCGGTCTTGTCGCAATAGGTGGTTGCCTTTTAGTCCATTTCACTCTAAACAAACATTGCCTTCGGGTAGGTGCCGGTTTGCGACTGGCTATCATTCGCACGGCACAGGCCATGTGACTTTATGGTGAGGAATCTGGCGCCCCTCTACACATCCATAGAGGGTGGTCGTCCCCATGTAATGTTCATCATGTTTCACGAGCAGACGTCTAAGGCTCGCTGCTGTAGAAGAAAGAACCCATTGAATCAGCTCGTTGCGCTCCTGGGAGCCCTCTTGTTGGTCCAGATTATCTGTGCTCTATGGAGGAGCTGCGACGTATCGGCAGTGCGTCGGTTGATGAACTGTCTTATGCAGCACATCCACCCCACAGGGCAGCGATCAGAAGGCAGCGCATTGACAATAAACCTAGTCAATCAAATGGAGAACGACAGCTATGAAAGCCTTCAACACGGGCTGGTTCTTCTGCATCTGATTCCCGACTCCGGCGGCGTGGGCTACATGAAAGCAACGGCTGAATCGATCGCTCGAAAAACAGCCTCTCGGCTGCATTTTGACGCTGTGTGCTGAGAATCAGATAAAATATGGTCTGTATGCAACATGCGCTCATGTGCATCATGTGGCCAAATGGGTTGTTCGTCACTGCGTGCCCGCACATGGGGCGATGGGCTCATTCTTGCTTAATGGTGAGCCGAAGTGACGTTGCCGTTCTTACCTGGGCAACTGGGTTCAAATGTGGCGGCCGCAGCCGCAGCCGCCACGAGGCATGCTGCAGAAACCGCAGCCAACCATTGGCGTGTGCCTGCCATCATCACCTGCAATGAAGACAACCAATTGTTTTCACGCGCGCAAAAATGAACAACCAAAGCCACGAAAGTAGCCAGCCCCGCATAGCCCCGTCTTGAACACTCCCATCAATGGGCAGCATCTACTCTTGACAGCAACCGGATTCTTGCGCGTTTTACACTCGTCTTACGTGTGTAATCAATGAAGGCTGATTTGAACATTCGCGCACGGCCAGGCCATCTGGGTACCGCAGAGCGACCGCTCTTCATCGGATAGCGTTCGCAGACGACTGTGGCGAGAGCGCCGCCACAAACACGAAGTTCTGAACTGAATGCATTGAACATAATCAATGGCGATAGCACTGCCGCCCGAGCCAGGACCAAACAAGCATGTCGGCTAGAGGGGTTGCTGTTGATCCCAAACAGAGATTTAGATTCTATCTGCGGTGCTTCCACCGCCCTGCCAAGGTTGCTCGCGATGGCCAGGCGCAAGGCGCCCTTCGCAGCTCTGATTGCCAGGCAGAGGTGCCCACGTGGCAGGGCGACAGCGGTCATGGCCAGGCGAAGTCGATGCATGTTTCCATCCGCCACGCGCCCAGGATTGGTTGCGACAAGCGCTCGCTTTGGCTGTTCCCAAAATTTGTACTGATGATCACGACCACTTGGGACCGCCGCTGGCGGTCCGCGTTCAATTGCTCGCCCGATGGGCGACAGACCACGAGCGCAGCACACGAAACCCCAGGTCGGCGCAGCCCAGAATTTCCCAGCGCCACGCATTCACTGTCTCAAGCGTATAGGTCCCGGGTCGCGTCCCTGGGATGCATCGTAGAACGGCATGAGCGAAATCGCGAGACCGCCAAGGCACGACTGCATTCGCCATGCGTCGTCCCAACCTTCAGCACCCAACCCGCAGCCATGGCCAAAATCGGTTCTGATAGGGAGGCCCTTCGGTGCCCAGTGGGCAAAAATTAGACGAAGGCAATTTCGCGTGCGGTCGCCATTGGACCCCCGTTCTGGCTGTGCCGGTAATCGCCTCGCCACGCTCATGCGATGCGCCTGGGCCAGGCCCGCCTGTGCGGCTGCGTCGCGAGGTCGTTCCGGTGGACGTGCCGCTGCTGCCGTACCTGCGAGCGGAGTCTGCCGCGGACACCAGTGACCTGGGCCTCGCCTGGAACCAACAGCTACGACAATAAGCAGCAACTCCCCGTTTTGCGCCTTCCCCAAGCGATCGAGCGACTCCGTCACGTCAGCCGGAGTGGCACGTCATTTCAGTACCCCGGCACTCCTCTGTAACCCCCGCCAGCCCTGCAATGCATTCCAAGCTTTAGCAGATGCCTTCCGGCAACGTGCTGTCTAGTACTCTTCTTCTCGTTGTCTGGGTTTCGTCGGGTTTGCGCAGCCAGCCAGCTAGTGCTCTGACTGCCCTGCCATAGTTGCTTTCTCGGCTGGCCAAACAAGAACTTCGGCAAGCTTGCGGCACTCCTCCGATTTGAATCACATGTATCCATGTTGATTGTTGTGGCTACAGTGTATCACACGACGCTAAAGCAGTCGATTTGCCTCCGCAATGTCTTTTGCAAATGCTATCGAGTGTGTGCCACAACCCCAACGGATTGATTCTTGCATCATTTTCTGCTTCTGGGCCGCTGACTTTTAAGGGCAAGGTTGGTTGCATATCAAAACAAAACAGGTCCTACAGGGCCTGTAGTACACGCCTTTTGTATGACCTGTTTTCTTTTGACATGTAGTCGACCTTACCCATAAAAACGAGTTGCCCAGAAGCAGAAGACGCAGCTACATTGGGCGCTTCCTCCCAAGCAAATGTGTGTGAGAATTGCTCCACACTGCCCAATGAAGATGCGGCGTGCCCAGAGCCAGAAGAGTCATTAGGGCAAAAAACAACTAACACGTGTTCAAATGTGTACAAATCTACTTGTTTGGGTTATTTTTGTGCTCTTAGCGTGCGGAACTTTGATGAAATGTGTTTTATGTGTGTTCGCAAAAGTGTTACTCGGTCCCGCTTCTCCTAGTGAGTAGTACAGAACACAAGGAACGCAAAGCAAAACAGCTGTAATGGGCAACATCTTCGCGATTGATGGGTTGCCTTGGTCACAGTATGGTCGTTACTCCAGCGTCCGTTTATGGGCAGTTTGCCGTTATGTGCAGCAGCTGCAAAGTCGAGCGTTGATCAATGGCGCTGACTTATGACACCGTTTTCTTTCGTAACGGATTTGGCTCGCCATGGCCACTGGGGGGCCGGATATGTGTACTGCATACCGATGGCGGCAGACATGCAGGCATTCAATCAGGATAAACTAATGTGATTTGGCGCAGTTGAGTGCCTGCATTCTTGGCTCACAAAATATATTCATGCCACAATTTCCGCAGAATTTCGCAGAAATTGCATCTTTTTTTGACGCTATTTAACGCGAAGTCTAAAAGCCTTACAGTGGTAATTGTACCATGCTAATAGTGAATTATTCACTGGAAAATTCAGCACACAGGGTTAGGATAATTCTGCGATGATCCTGCATATATGTGTGTTATGTAACAGGCACAGCGGAATGCACCAGTCAGGAGGCCCTCAAAACACTACATATATATGCATATCTCTTATATAGGTGATATTCTACAGGTAGAAATGCTGTGTGCTCATAGGTATCGCCAGGGTGGGGAACGTGGATCCTATGGACACAAAGAAAATCAATCATAGAGCAAATTTTGCCCACACCGGCGGTGAACAGACAAGCGAACTGATGCAGGACAGACACGTTTTCTTGGATGTACACCTGCCCGTCGTCGCCTACAAGGTGCAAGGGGCACCACTTTGTCTCAACGAAAGCAATCG